TCACTGATCTCTCTATCAGTGCTCTGTATCACTGTCATCCTCATCATAATCATCATCGCCCCGATACCCATGTCGACTCCATTTTCATCCCGTCCACCACGGGACTCCCACTCCACGAGGAGGTGCAGATACCCACGTACAACGGGTGGTGGACATGGAATGCGACGGCATGGCATGGGAGTTCAGCAAGCATCACACATACCCAATTCCAGCATCAGATATGGTACAAATACCCTCTTCGCAGTATGGATACCTGCGACACGGTGCGAAAACGACGCAGAACGGATGCAAAAGCACCAGCGGCAGCAACACAAGATGCCGTCGGGTGCTCTGCATCCCCTTCCTGATCCTCATGCACTGCTCCCACCACCACCACCGCCGCCGCCGCAGCCACTGCATCGCACGCTTTGCAGGTCGGGTTCGGGCATGGTCAGCCGCCAACCACCCTGGAATACCTAGCAAGCAAACACGCCTTCCTTGGCTTCCAAACGTTTCTTGCATTCCTGCGCCCTGGTCCGACATGGGCACCGAGCCGTTGAACTTTCATTCCACTCACCTGTCCACGAAAACTCCCCACATCGTCACTTGTGAGGATGACGGAGACTAGCAACCTTTCTTCTCGTCTCGTTCACCACTCTATCGACACGGTCCAGACGGGTCCTTGGGTTACTGACGCACCACTCAATCGACTCTTTGATGCACAACTATTACAGCGGTCTGCACCTCACCACCCGCTGGTCTGATCTGGCGTCCTTATGCATACGGCAACATGTTGTCTACCGTTTCCTGCTCAGTTGTGCCCATGTTTCCTTTTATTTCTTGTTCTAAAAGCTGACGGCTCGACAAGTACATACGCCTAACCAAATTCTGGCCGTCCAGTCGATTGGACGCCTCCAAAGATGCGAGGGGACGCCAGGGGAATCCGCCAAAAGGACAATCCCCGTTCGGAACCCATCCCCGACCACGCCATGCTTGGTTTTGATCCGCTTCACTCTGCAAGCTTCATCCCATCTTGCGGCCCCAGCGTCACCACCCGGTCTGCCCATCATGAACGATCTGCCACTTAACACTGCAATTCAGATTACATCGGCGTCGGCTGCTGGCTAGAAAAAAATCGGCATTCTAGTCTGAGCCACCTCTTTTCAGAGCCTTTCCATAGTGCCGACCTCTGAAAGCATCTGGACTCTTGCTGGCTTAGATGTGTGGATGCCCGTCACCACCAAACGGCGCGAAAGCTCAGTTGGTGCCATGTTGTGCATTTGGCCATGGGGCATTGGGTCCCATCAAAATTTGTTTGCTTGCCAGTCAACGTACTAACTTCCGTGCCGTACCGCTTCCCGCCGCTGGCCCTGGACTGTCAGGAAAAAACTTGCGCCCGACGCTCACGGACTGAGACGGCCCTGCCAACCTGGCCCCCGCCCGCCTCCGTCGACAAGCAAGGGGTAACCTAACCGCTAATAACGGAGACGGCGTCGAGGTTTCCAACAAGAAAGTCCCGCCCTCACACACAAGTCCGCTCAACTCGTTGGACGGCGCGCCCGGTGCCTGCGGTATTCGCTTTTCGAAGCCAGCAAATTCACGCCACCTACTTGTCAACTCAGTCGTGAGTGCCCGCACTTCTCCGAAGAGCACCAACCCCAGCTAAGTAGGAATTCACAGTCGAGAAGCTTCACTCGGGTGAGTATCACAGCTTTTTCGCTACCAGGGCCTCCGCGATAGATGAACGGGTATGCTTTGAGTCATGGACACATCTTCCCGCCGCGGGACGGTCACCCATTCCCACTATTTATTCTATCACCGACTCGCCCGCAAACCCACGCCTAGTGAAACGTCCTTCAAATGGACCGTAGCAAGCAGTCATTGATTTGCTACGATCGGCTGGAAAGTCGATCGACCAATTGATGGGACTGTTCTCAAATCGAATGCCAGGGCCGAACCACGAGCTGTCTCTTCTATCCACCCATCTAGATCAAACGAGGAGCAAACGGATGCAAAAGCTAGTATATCACATCAGTGTTGACGGCACACAGCACCCGAGCCCCTCGCTATTTTTCCTGCGCACCGAATCTATCCCATCACTGCCGGCCACATGCAAATCAGAGAGACTGGCCGGACATGGTTCTTGGACCAACGGTTGCAACCCACCAGGGCCCCTCGCAGGCGCCATGCTGTTCATGATACCTGCGATACGGTTATCCTGGAAGCCTCCCCCAGCGTACTTCACGGCATTCTCAGCGTGCAGCGCCGCGGGAAAAAAGAAAGCCCCGGGAGACAGTACGGCCTTGAAAATGATGCAATCAGTGCTCCTGGTGCAGCCAATATCATGTAATTACGGCCCCGTATGGCTGGCGAGGCTCTTGCCGACCGATGCGCCGTTCAGCCCGGCCCACCGTTGTCTCACTTTGACCCCTGCTCGTCGACATGGGACCTCTCCCACACCTTCATGCACTCACACAATTTGTGATTTTTTACTCGCTTTTATTCGATGGCACCCTCACCACTGCAGAAATACTCTGTACCAGCTTACGGTTCAACAAACCCGCACAAATGCCTGCCTGAACCCTCAGCAAACGCGTTGCCGGACACAGTGGTCACTATACGGAAGCAAACCACACATACAGGGCCATAGGCTGCAGCTTGAGTCCGGTTCGTGGGGTTTTGTAGGGAGGTTGGCGATTCGAAGCTGTCTGCACAGAGCACGAGAAGAAGTAAGCAAAGTGCGACACGAGTATTGAGAAGAAGCGTCTTTATGAGTTGCCAGATGTCAGGTCCGATGCCCGATCAGGACCTTTGACTGGCGGTGCTCATTGCGGCATTCCTCGGTATGCTCATGGCGGGGAGCCTTGGGGGAACGGCCAGGGCCAAGAGGATCGCCCGCTACGAGACTGGTGCCCAGTGACAGCGCATGACGGGCTTTTCTACGCAGTGGAGGAAAGCGACGAAAGGCCCCCTACTCCGTTGGACCAGAGTTTCTGGCCCCTTTTGGCCAGGTACAGCCCATGTATGCGCAGACATGCGTACAGTACTGCTTAGTACTGTACATGGTAGACCTTGTCCGCAGTAGCGCAAACACCACAAGAGCCTGGGGGTGTGGGCGACCTCACCTGCAGGCCACATATTGGGACGCCGAGCTGCGGCATTGGATGGTGGTGTTTGGGAGGGACATGGAGCTCTCCCTCCCTCCCCTCCCGACGGGCACCTGCCATACCTTATCAAGATGGCAGACTAGGGGGGGGGGGGGGCCAAATGTATTCGTTTCCCCTGGCAGTGCTTCATAAGTACCTCAACTACAGTCCACCACACCCGAAGGGGCACCTGAGAAGCCTTTTCCCTCTTCTCCACAGCTGTCAGTCTCTCCCCGGAAGACTTGTCGTCCTGCTTCAGGCCTGTGTCCGTCCGTTTTCTCTCTCAGACCGACCGATTTACTTGACCCTTCATCTGGCCTTCTCTCAGACGCCAGTGCTTCGGCTCACCACATTTCCAGTTTCTCCTGCTCACCAGCTACCAGAAGCTGAAGGAGGGTAGGAAGCTCAAGTTGACTAGACTAGGGTCTTTCCTGGGTCCCAGCTTCCTGCCGCTTTGCTTGTCCTTGTTTCTACAACTGCGGATGCCGGTCTCGCTGCCCCTCGACCTCAAGTCATTTGCGGCCTCGTTATCCACCCCTCGCTTGCGGGAAGTGCTTCTCGCCCGCACTCCCCAGTCCGCTGTCACATACCGCAGCAACAATCGAGATATACTAAGAAGCCCTAACTCAGATCATTACGAAAGTACTGGATCCGTCGACAAGCTCAACCCGCCTCCGCCTCGCAGACCCATCCTCAAAGCTCCACCTCAGCCCGCGAGCCTTGACCTCATCTAGGGCCCTCACCCTCCAGCCGGTGGTCATTGGCTCTTTTTCCCTTTCTCTGTTTCCTTCCCGAAGGCAGCCGTATTCGTTTTCTTTGTTTCGTCCTTGCTCGGGGAAGCAAACGCGTGCTGTCGGCAGTCCACCAATCCCTCTCACTTATCAACTCCTCTCCTGGTCTACCACTTTGTCCCCGAGACATTGCGTGGAGAGTTGCTCTAAGACAGACCGCGAACCAGTGGAGAGGTTTCCCCCCGATGTCTCAAGTCATCTTGGAAACAAAGAGGACTTTGAGGTCCATCCTGGTGTCCAGTTTCGCGAGCTGATAGATCTGTGTGAACCACCCGAACCCGCCTTCTTCGCCAACTTCCTCCTCAAACACAGTATCGTCCTGGACAGGTCACATCACGTCTTCTTTGTCGTTAGGTCCGTTCGCTGGTCCGCCAATTTCGTCTTCTCATCCGCGACACATTATCTGGTGTTTTCTCTGCTGCCAGCTCAGCGTTTGGTTGCTATCCGCCCGCCAACCGCGACGATCCCAGGCAGGATCCCGTTGCGTCTCCTGACACCCGGATCTGCTCAATACATCACAACAGGCTCGCCCTGGCCAGAACAAGCCTAGCATCTTGCCGCTCGACTCTGCAATATCTAGTCAGCGACCCGCCCGCCGTACAAACATCGGAACAAGTCGCGTCTCTGCTGCATCTACCCTCGCGCATACGGTCTGACACGCCACTCTCAAGTCTCAACGACCTGCATCCTGCATTAGGTTTGAACGTTCTTCGAACCACATTCATCCCTCGTGTGCTGCGTTCTTTGAGCACTGGTCAATTGCATTGATATCTGAGCTTCGTACGCTCTCTCAAGCACAGGCTTCTGTCCTACAACAGTCATCTCTCAGAAGCTCCGCCTCTTGCGGCGTCGACGTGAGATGCCCGGCTACCGCTGCCTTCATGTCAACCTTGTCTAACGCTCGCACAGTTGCACATCGTATTCGTCTTTCTACCTTCTGTATCTGGTTGGCAACGTTACACCTTGAATCGAAGTCGACCTCGACAGCCTCTTAAGACTCTTCAAACGACACATCAAGCTTGCACGCTCAGATCTTGGATGCTACTTTCCTGCCAGTCATACTGACGCCGGTTGTGCCATCACCATGGTCCGCGACTATCCCCGGGATACTTTCCCTCGGCAATGGCATCAGGAGCGGCATCCTGCCGACCCTCCGCCAGGGCTTCATGACATTAGCCATACCCAAGCGGCCGACGCTCGTAGGCCGATCGTAAGTGAGCCATGAGAATGAATGACTGTATCTAGCGTCTAACAGAGGTTATAGGACATTGGAAAGGCATTGAGGGATCATTGCAATATCCCGGCTAGGCATTACTTCGTTGCTGCTGTCCTGGATGATGGTAGCACGCAGACTTTCAGCAACATTCCATTGGGAGGACGGAACCAGCCAAATCCTTCCAACAAATTTTTCGGCATGAAGGCGTTTGTTCGGCATATCCAAGGCGTCGACGCTGGTACCTATCACATTCCTCCACGCAAGGTCGAGTTTTCGCTGACACGATGCACAGTTCCAAGCCCTATGCATGACGATTCCGAATTCAGCCTCGAGAGTGATTACCACCAGTTCGGAGGCGGCTATGGGCATCGATCACAAGACCGTCGCCGACAAGTTGGTGACATGTACGACGAGAACGGCTACAAAACCCGCAAGAGGCATCGAGGCGGCATGGGAGGATCCTACCGAAGGCAGGTCGACGACGACGACGATGTGGTAGTGTCACAGGCAAACCCAACGAGGAATCTCAGAGTCGGCAACGACAAGGATGTGTGGGACTTCTACGAGCAACGTTTCAAGAACTGCCAGCAGACGGCTTGCAAACTCATCGCTAAAGCCTGGGTGAAGGTCGTCGAGCCAAAGAAGCAAACGAATCACCCGTATACTGGCCAGGACGAAAAGGCCCCCGACTGGTGGCCGAAGCCATGGGGTCCTACGAAGGAGGAGAAGGTCCGCCACAAGGAGCCCGATCATCTCTACAAAAGAGGTAATTTGCCATGTATGGGACAATTCTGTTTGACAAATGCTAACACATAGGTCAGAGCGTGTCCATTTACTGTGCCACATCCTCCGCATGATCGTAGAGCCCCCTGAGAACCAGCATCCCGCCATCTTGAAGATGAACTTGAACGTGCAGAAGCTCGAGGATGCCACGACCGAGGCAATGTCAGCATTCTTTTCGGACAAAGAAAACAAGGCCAATGCAAAGAAGAAGCCTTATCTCGACGAGATCTTCAAAGTTGCCAAGCACGAAGAAAGATACAAGAGAAACGAGATCGGTAAGTGTTGTTTCGTGTTGAAGTGGCTTACATACTAACGTGAATTAGATGGCGACTCATATGTCCATGTTATGTCAGAAGACAAATTCCCAGAGAGCTATCCATCTGACACGGAAGACAACGGCTTCGTGAAGGAGGAGGATGAGCACCACCCCTCCATAACATCAAGCACATCGCCGTCAAAGACAGGAGCACCACACGACCTTTTGCACGCGTCGAGTAGCGACCACAGCCCAGCCGGGGCCCTTCCCAGCGGCGCCTACATGAACGAAATGCCGCTGCGTGGACAACAGTACTCAACCCAAATGCTCCCCTCAAACATCCACCCCGATCATCATTTCGTGGAGGGCAGCAACATTCACCCGCCTGGCGGTCTTCTGCCACAGGACTTGGTGCCGCCTCCCCATGATCCCCATCGTCGGTCATCTATGTACACGTCTCCCAACGAATATCCAACCGCCGCCCCCACCGGGATGTACACTCAGCCTTGGCAGGGGGGATCAACTGCCCCCAATGGCGCATCTGTGTATTCCTTCACGGCGCAACAGCCGGGTCCTGCTCCGGGACACTTTGGCAATCACAGTGTTCCTTTGGCACAGAATCAGTACGTGCCTTCGCCCTACGATGGGATGCCGAGAGGTGGCTTCGATCAGGGCAGTATGTTTCGGTCCGTAAGCACAAGTCAGACACCCGTTCAGAATTCTCAAGGGTTTTCTGGGTATAGTCTACCGACCGACACACGAGGCCTACCCGGCTCAGGCGGAAAGCCAGACTCTATTGGTCGCGGGCAGATGCATTGACGGCCACCAGCATGAAGACCCCTATCTGCAGCTCGCCCCTCGATCACGGCTGGAACCCACAGAACGGCTCAACACTCGACAGAAGGATTCAAGAGGCGAGAGAAGTCTGCTGTCGTGACTCGCTTTGAGATCCAGGGGGGACATCACCGAAGGACCACCAAAAAGTTCAAAAAGACAACAACTGGTCATCCCTCCAACAGCCGTATCGCGAATCCGACAGACGCAACATGAATCTGTCTGCAGACTCTCGAGCTTTTCGTACAAGACTTCGCAATGGAACAATCAGAACGACAAAGATATGGCGTGGCTAGTGTCTGTTCTTGCTTTTTACGACTTGAATTTTCCATAACGAGGGGCATTTTTTGTTTTTAATCTCATCCGCGGCTCTCGAAAAGTTACATCAGCATTCCGAGCACTACAGCAGGCGGCAGCAGTATCAGCACAGGCAAACATCGCAGCAGGGGGGAAAGTTTGTTTTCACGTTTGTTTTCACGTTTGTTTTCAATGGGAATGAATGCCTTCCCAGGGGTGTTCAGAAAAGGCCCCTGATTTTTCAACCTTTTACCACGCTGGAGTCCATTTACGGAAAGTTGAGGCAAGATTTCTCATACAAATTACTGGCGGCTCTTCTGTGCTTGGGCGTCGGACCTTACGCTATCATGACACCACGCTTTTTTTCCATCTTTGGCTATTCTTTTCAACATCCTCGAGCATCAGCAAACACGGATTACCGGCTCAGGACGCAGCACAGTTGGACGGGCAACGATGGAATTGCCACTTTTCATTTTCTCCTTTTGGCGATACCGCTGGCCCAGGCCGTTTGTTTTTTGCTTTTATGGCCCTACACGATAGGGAAGCTGGAGAATTCAAGATACAGGGGGGTTCGGCACGGAAAGAAGGCGCAGATGAGAAGGAGAGGCTTGCCATTGCTGGAGATGGAGTATATTGGAATTGTTGCTTGGAACCGACCGTTACGTGGTTGGCGGGAAACGGAAAGGGAGCGAAGAAAAACGAAAATTGGTCTGCAAAGTAGGGAGGAAGGAAGGAAGGAGCCTGACATGTCAGGGCGGCTTGACCGTTGGCCAACCCAAACTGCGCTTTCAAGCGGCCGTGGAAATTGGGAGTTTTCTAGGACCCTTTGCGGTTCAGTCATGACAATTTGCTTGTAATGAAGGGCCGCTACAGATAGGAGATAATGAGGGCAGTCTGCTCGAAACATGTTTTTGTGAGAGGTCAGAATTAAGTACGGAGTATGCAACGTTTTCATTTCCCTCTCTTTGCCACGCATGTCTCAGTCCGTCAGCCTCATCGAATTCCAACGTCAATGAGGCTCACACTCAGCCTCAGCCGCTTGCGGTTCCCAAGATCAACGACACGATCTTCACTTAGCGTGGCCCAATGTGCAGATGGGAGAGAACAAAAAACCTCCGAGGTGGCCAAAAATATATGACTATATTTCCGTCCAATCGGCAATCTTCCAAGAAACCTGCCACGCCTGCTTTGTCTCTCCCACTGGGAGGACAGTCCCAATTCCCACTGTATTCAGGGTCCTTCGGCAAGGGGAGGGGGGCACACACCCGGCCGTGCATACAGATGACAATCTGACAGGTAACGGACGGGAAGCGAGAGTGTGGGATGTGCGAGAGGGAAAGGACTGCGTGCGGAGGGGGGTGGTGGGATGATGATGGGCGCCGGGGGGAGGAGAGGACGACGGGGAGGACGCGGGCGCTACTGCGAACAGAATGTTGGCATGTTTAGTCGTATCCCGGTAGCCTGGGTCCCGTAAAAAAACTAGAAGTGACCCTTTTTTTCCCTTACTGCTCGGGGAGTAATTTTGACGTGTCGGATGTCAGTTGGACCCCACCGAGAAGGAGGGTAGGGTGCGGCGTTGGTCTTTCCGTTGTGTGGTTCCGTGTCGTTTTTTCGTCTCCGGCCGCACGGCGAAGGTGATAAAAAAGTGGCACCCCGGTCACCGGTGCCCCGCAGACCGGTGAAGAAGTGGATCCGCCCTCCGGCCAGTCACCGGTCGAGGCGTACCACACCTTTTTGGGGGGTAGTCGTTCTTTGTTTGACGGGAAACGGACTGCCCTGCGAAAGAAGCACACGCCCCTCCACGAACACGATCCTTGTGGGTTTTATGTTCTCTATTTTTTCCTGCTTGTTTGATGGATGACCACCACCACCCTCGTGCTTTCTTTTCTTTTTCCTCGAGGAATTTGGGTGTTGTTGTCGTGTGGTTTGAAGGGAGGGGGGCGCTACTGGCACGGCCCGAGGATCGCTGCAGATTGTCGTTGGCTGGGTTCGGTTTTCGATGCGTCGGTTCTCTTGTTTTCCCACTTGAAGCACGCACACTCCCCCCCACTCACACGTTCTTTGCTGTCAGGTTGATCTCTTCTGTTTGACAGGTGAGAATGGACATATGACATGGTTTAATATCTTGTTTCTCATGGGAGGGGGGAGGGGGATGATGTAGAGGTACTTTGGCGGGTTGAGCCCCTGGTTTTGTGTGGGAGATGGTGGGAAATGGTGGTGACGTGGGTTGGAGTCCGTTTCTGATCCAAATCAAAGATTGCTGCTGCGTCTTCTAAATTCTGTTTCTGAAGAGTTGTTCAATCCGACCTTGGTTTACCGAAGTTGCTCGCCTCAGGTCTTTGGTTGCGGTATTGGGTTGTGTGAATAACATGGATTGGATAATCGAGTATTCGATTTTGTGAGAAAAAGAGAAATAAACCCAACTCAAAGCTGAGAGAAAATAAGAATGTCCCAGTCGAAGATTAGAGGAGTCAAACAAATCAATCAGCCCTTCGTGCCGGGCTGGCAATTCAGACCTTGCTGCCAATGATGCATGTCATCACACAAGGCTGTGCCCCTTCCCGGCGTTCACCCAGCTTACGAGGCCATGTTCATTGCCGCTACCAGATCCGGCAGGGGAATTTACACCAGAAACAAACAAATGATAAAGGCGAGGTTGTGATCCAAACAACAGGTGATGGGTCGTCATTCTTCGCCACGTCAGTTCAAAAATAGCCCGGGACGTTGTTTGCTGATTATGCATGAGTATTCACCCCCTATGCAGGCAAAAGGGAGGCTGTGACAAATCGAGTTCCCACTCAAGTGAGTACAAACTGCATGATTCTCGCCGGCCGAGTCGCAGCATCTGGATCCGAACCCGATGACCCGACATGTTCGGGACACCCGAAAGGGCCTTTGCAGTCGGTTGTATCGCCGTATGGACGGCGTGCATGTCCAGTGGTCCGCGGTTGCGATGTAGTGCCTTTTCGGATACTCGTATGACTGATGGCAGAGACCCCGGTCCTCCATGGTGGTCTTGAGGGTTGCAGACCTAATGGGAAAGGGCGACTTAATGAGGTGATGCATGGACGTTACGTCGCCACATTCTACGATTCGCCTGTTGAATTACGAGAGGGTCAACGGAGAAGCTTGCACACTGCTTTCCTATAGCCGTGGAAGTGAAGGACATTTGTTGGAACTGATCCAAAAACCAACACACCAGATCAGGAGCAGCCCCTATCACGGGCTATCGTTTAGCACATTCCATTATAAAAGCCAAAAAGTCTTGACCAAATCATACATCCTTTCAAAACACGAATTCACCGAAATGACTGGCGTTGTTCAACGAGAACAACCAAAACACTCCGGGTCCGTCTATGCAAGTGATATTCTGTCCGCAGGAGGCAAAGACCGAGCTTGAATTCAACGATGCTCTCCGTCACTTGTACCCTGCGTTTATTGCCGATGAAATCGCAAGACAAAGAAAAGATGACTATTTCTTGTACACATCGACGTCAAACTTATGTTTTACCGTATGTGAAAACTGACCAGCCCTTGGGAATAACGACACCGAGATCATGGTTAATACTGCTGATCCGAGAAAATACCTAGGTTCAGCGCATCGTGCAAGGACCGAACCAATTGATTCAAAGTATGCATGCGTTGAAGTGGTCGTAACCTGGTGTCTGTTTAAAATGTTTAACTGGCTTGCACATGACGTCGGAACTCGAGGAAACAGCCCCCCAGAATCCGCTGTGGTTGAATTGGGAGTGATGAGTAATGAGTTCACCCTTGAAATTAGATATGGCACGGCTTGACAGACGTGTATGTACGTCTTTTCTCGACCTGTCTTGACACGGCGAGATTGAGAAATACTCCAAGAAGAACAGGGTTCTAGAAATACGAATATTCTTACCCAATAGAGAGCGCTGCATAGCCTTCATACTCTAGTCTCGCTGGATTCGAAGAGATTTCACATCTCAGTGATCAACAGAAACTTCCGGACGCAAAAGCCGTTTCTTCCCGGAACCAGAAACTATGAGGCTCAACGGCAAATTAATATAACATACTGTAATGAGCGTCCAGACTGCGTGGACAACCATGCCGCTGAAGATCGTCTGGGCGAGAAATGGCATCGTGAGTGTAGTCAAGAACTCTAGAAAGCTGAATTTACTTAATAGAAGACTGGGTAGTAGGTTTTGAAGGCTTCGTAGCTGATGTATGGAAATATCCAGTAATACACATCTCCATCAGCTTCAGAACAGGGATTGTCAAAACTCCATAGCGATGACCTAAGTCGATCTGGAAATCTACACACAGATATTGCATAGACCACCTGAATACGTCGACTGATGCAACGGAAGAAATAGACGAAGACGATCAAGCCCTCGAGATAGTACCAAATCCCTTCTAGTGAAGACGCTTGCACATTTCTGGTCGGGTGCATACTTTTGGCGCCAGGCAACGGCCAAACAGACAGTGTCCCAAGTTATTGCCGTAAAAGACGAGCTGAATGGTCTGATATACCAATTTTATATCTTGCAAACCGGAGTCTATCATGTTAACAGAGGCGATTCAATAGGCAGCTTTGCTAACGTGGCAAGGAAAGTCTCCGAACGTAACTCACTTCGGGCGATCCGTCCTAAAGTATCTTAACATCAAACTTCCACACAGGACGCTTATCATGACAGCGTATTTGCGGTATGTGGCATGCTTAACAGTCAGCTCTCACCGCCTAAAAGGCCAGACGCAAAAATGATAAACCATCACAAAAGGGGCGAATGCACGGCAGGAAATGCGGCACAGCGGTTGAAAGTGATTATATTGCTATGTCGACTCCATGAGCGGAACGTCTGATTGCAGGTTGCTCCCAGACCTGGGCAGATATCATCCTTGCATCCAGACGCGGGTATATCTTCAAAGACAGTTAAACCGCGGTGGAGCAACGACAGACGCAGACTATGCTTTTGTCTCCATTCATGTGCATCAGTGTCGACTTGATGGCATTCGGGGCTTTCGAGGATCTCATTTGAGACATGGAACGTAGCCGGCTGAGGAAGGCCGCTTACCATATAAGACTCGTTGTTTTGGAACGTCGCTGCCTGACATGAAGGCACCGAAATCCCAATCAAGGTGAAAACAACGACCCCCTACTTACGGATAGAATAAACAGCGAGCAGTCATGAGCGACAGAGACTTTTTCAAGAGAACCGATTCATTCTCCAGAGACCTGTTTGGACAAACCCCTTCGACTCGTACCCCTACTTCCTGTTACGATTTCACGGCACCGAAACGCTACGAGATTTTGAGCAAAGCGAATTTAATATCACTGAAGCAGACATTAGGATCTTGAAGTACTTATGCACTCCGAAGAAGCTTCAGATAGCGCAGGTTATGATGCGAGACCTAATTGACAAGACCCACGATCACCGCGACAAAGTGTATTTAATAGACGGGTTTCCAAGAACACTCAGCTCCTGTGGTAACAAGAATGTAGTGGGAACAAGAATGTAGTGGGAACAAGAATGTAGTGTCAACAAAATGGGCCATTTCCTAGAGTGCTTTTGGGGTCTCCAAGGAAAGCACCTATCCCGGACAACGCCTGTCACCTGTCTGTCCTCAAGACCTCGGTGACAACAAAACATATACATCTTCGGCATTGCATTGGAATAAGCGAGACGTAGCAGTGAGGAGAAAGACAGCACCAAAGGCTCAATCAGCGTTTTGAACTAAATGTTGCTTTGGTATAGACCTGGTTTCGTGGCGTTATAACTTGCACTGGCTGTGAAGACTGATACCTGTGGCCCACCAATGACCAGCAGGAGATATTGGAGTAAACGGGGCAAATTTGTAACAGCCTCAAATAGGGCAGCAATGAACTATGACCGAAGAACTGACATATACAGCAGGCCTTGCTCAAGGGTCCAACACAGTAGCCAAGAAGCCTCGCTCTGTCTATAAAGAAGCCTTGAGGCATCGTAAACAAACCAGAAAGAATAATCAAGAGGTACCACGCGGATGGCTAATAAGTCGAAAGCAAAGCAACCCTAACTGTCCGCTGGCGGGATCAGCCAATACGCCATTGTAACAAACATCCGGTACAAGGCGTCAAACCCGACCCCGGATAAACCGTCCGCGAGAACGGACGACAGAGATATGAAGAAACCGCAACAGCGTCCCTTTAGTCTCTTGTATGACCGGGAGCTTAGATGGTAAAAATGATGGACCCCGATCTTGCCTATTTGCAGCTGAGGAATCACCTAGTTGACGCATTTCCTTGGTGAAGTCTTCAGAAGGGGAAATCAACCAGCCATTTATAGATCGTCGTTGCATCCTACATCGAGCGCGATTACGTCGGGCTCATTACTTTTAGAGGGCACGAGTCCGCATACTTTAGCATGAACGGAATACGTGCCCTTTGAGACCATTCATCGTAGACCAGGCACAATATTTGAGGTCAGAATCAATATTATTTCTGCCTGAAAGATAAATAGCCAGCGACTCAACCAGAGAAGCGTAACCTCCGACGCCAAGACCGGGCAGACGGGACGTCTGCCCGTATGCATGACTGCTCAAAGAAACCCGAAATCCTACGATACCATCACGAAACCTCCAACGCTGATACCAATCCATACGCGTAAAACAGAGTTTGAAGGGGCTAGGGAGCAATGATTCATTATAGACTATCTGTCTGTCGGATGTGACATCCATCGTGCTTTATAATTGAGTAAAGAACATCGAAGAAAGCAGCTTAGGGCTGCTGAGGGGTATAAGTTGAAGGGAAGGAAGGAGGCGCGGTGTAAGCCTGATTTTGGAGCACCATCAGGTAGTACCTGATTCTTGCGTCCTCATCCATCATTTGCTGATAACCGACGGCAGCGGATTGAGAAGCCAGCTGGCCAGGTTGAAGGGAAATCGAGGTTTGGTGCTGGGTAGGGAGTCTATTGGGAGGCTCAACACTGCCAACCCGATGACCGTCGACGGAATTAGAGGGAACGTTGCGAGGTGTCGGAGATGAGCTAGACTTGACTTCGGGAGACTCATGACTTCTGCCCGAGACCTCCGAAGTCGTGTGAGGTAAAAAGGCCTGCTTGGCGGTAGGGCGCGGCTGAGTGCGAGGCTGGGGGCTGTCGGCCTTGACCTTCTAAGTTGCGGCAGCTGGCTCATCCTTATTCGCCTGAGGGTACGAAAGACCAGCATTCTGAGCAACGCGTTTCCACGTCTCTAGTTCCTTATAGAGACGTTCACACTCTTGCTTGAGCTTGTCGTTGGACGCACTGAGCTCTGCTATAGCTTGCTCCGTCAACAGCTTCTCCAGAGTCCACTTCTCGATGTTCTGGTTCTCGTTCTCCTTGAGCTGGTTGATGAATGTGACGGCGCGCTGGAGGATAGATCCCTTGTTCTTCTCGCAGTTGGGCACGATCTTGGCGAGTTCGTTAATGCCCTCATTGATCGTCTCACGACGACGGCGCTCCACTGTCCACATGTTAGTGTACGTTCAACGAGTAAAGTTAGGCGTGCTCACCCTCTTTGTGGTTGTCCTTGCGCATCTTGTGCCACTCCTCCGAGCCAACATCGGGTTTCTTGGCTGGTGCACTGGCAGATCCGCTGGAGTAGCGATGTTGAGGCGGCTGGGGTGGAGGAGGCTGATGTGTCTGATGAGGTGGTTGAGGCATACCCTGCACTCCATTGGTAGGCTGAGGAACGTTCGGCAGTGATGACATGAGTCCATCAGGGGACGGGAAGTGATCCTGGTGAGGAGGCTCATTGGCGGCCTGAGCAGCGAATTGCTCTTCCGTGGTGGGCGGAACGTGGAGAGTGGGATACATCCCAAGAGCGGCAGCCGCGGTGCTGGACGCATTGGCCGGGTCGGCGGCCTCGGAGTGCTCGGCGGCAGCGGCTTGCTGGAGAGCGCTGAAGTCGGCGACATTAACGCCATTAGCGGCGGCGGCGTTGGCGGCCTCGATGGCATTCTCAATGAAGGCAGTGGTGTCTGCATCAGGTCCGGCGCTGGTGCGCTTGGCACGGCCAGGACTCGTAGACTCCGACATGTCACGCTTGCGCTTCTGACCAGGAGAGGGTGACTGAGCCAGCTCAGACAGGTCTGGGTGGTCGCTGAGGACTTCGGCCATCGTACTTATGGGGTGAGGAGGCCACCAAAGTTTTCGTGGGACGAAGAGGTGGTTGATGGTAATGCTAGACAAGCGTCCACAATTCAGAGTTTTAATCAGCGCCCAAGGTTGGTTGATGAGGCTGACGAGGTTGTTAGCATCGAAAAATCTTGACTGCACCGGGATGGGAAGCAAGAGAAGGTGCCGAGGGGGGAAAAGGTGAGATGAGGCACTCTGGACGGAAGGTGAGACGAAATTCACTGCGGCTGCAGAATCTGGAAGGAAGATGACAGCCAGCCTGGTGCAAGAATGGTGAGAGCACTTGCCCTTTGAGTTGACGTTCCTGCCTTAAGACTCAGGTCTAGTCGACCATAGAGCATTGTTGAGTGAGGCTGTGAATGAGCTGAAGGGAGGCAGGCGTAGCAGGCATTTTGAGGGCATTCAGTCCTTCAGACCGTGCATCTCACGTAGAGGAGCAGTAGACATAGGAGCACAGGTAGTGTTTCTTCCTCTCATGATAGATTTGTATCATTCATTAGTTCTTGAGAGGATTTCTCAAGATCAATCGCTTGATTGTGGTTGGGAAGAACATCGCGATGCGCGTCGCAAGAGGATGGGCTTCATTCCAGAAAATAGCGCAAGCGACAGCGACAGACGTGCCCTCAGAGAAGGGCAGGCCTGCGCGTTGCATTGGCCGTGTGATAGTGTGAGAAGCGATAGGGTAGAGAGGAAGATCGTCAGGAAAAATGGGACAGGTCGCATACCTCTAGATCATGTGCTTCGCAGCGTGGTCTGGGCGGTGTAGGGAGGGAGCTCCAGATCACGGGTTTTGCTGGAGTTCACGTGTTGGCGGCGTGATCAAACTCGTGATATCGCGCGGCGGCGGGTGCGGCAGCTGGGGGGCCCTTTCGCTCCGGATGGGGCCGGTTGTACCGTTGTAAGTGTCGAGGTTCAGGTCGAAAACTCTCGAGGACGAGTCGAAAAACTTCACGCGAAATGCAATTCTTGAAAAGGATCTTCAGCAGTTCGAGACGAACTGCAGGCTTGCGCTACTCTTTTAATTCCTGGGCAAGAGCAGGTCGGGGTGGTTGAGTCGGGCTTGTCGATTGGGGGGGGGGGGGGGGAGCAGCAGCGCAACGACGGCGGGAAGCTCTGGTCACGCGGCAGAGGAAGAGGGTGAACACGTGCAAAGTGGGTGAGGCTGGAGATAAATACGCTTGAGAGCGAGGAAGGATGCAGGCCTGAGGCAGGATTTCGGACATGGCCAATCAGCAGACCGAAAGCCACACCCCCCAGGCGCCCGGCTGGCCTGTGGGTGCCAACGTACTCCTTCCGCGACTGCCCCGATCCAATCCCGTTTCTTCAGAGGGGCACAAGCTGCAGCAGACTCCCCGACTTGGGAGACATGCAAGTGATGCTTGTCGCGTCTTATCGACGACGCGCCTTATCGTCAGCCGCGACTTGTTAGTACAACACACAGCACGGCCGAAGCTATCCGTACGGGCTACGGGCCAGCAGCAAGCTACGACAGCACCGCATAGCAGGGGTAGCTCCGACCGGTCTGAGGAGTGTGGGTTTGTTAGCCTCTGGCTTCGGTACAGTGCACCCAACCATCGCCTGGCGCGTCAGGAAATGCCGAGCCTCGCCAATCACCTGATGCCGCCGTGGGCTGCCAGCATGAATCAAGTGACTGATGGGTTGTGAGACATTCCACTTTGAAGACGAGCACAGCGTCTGCATCGGCCAAGATAGTCTCGACTGTTGTGAGTCGTCGCCTCGTTCGTGTGTTACCTGCTTCATTCTACCACCAGGGATCACGACGGTGACTGAGGTGCTTACGAGAGACGGGAGGTGGGGCTCCAGAAAGCTTCAGGGACCTCGGCCTTATGTAAGCGGGTGCGAGCCACAGATATGGTCTGTGCACAGATAGCAGTCCGTCACTTGTGGGGTTTGAGATGAAGCATCGGAAGTGAAGCACGAGAGCAAGCTGTGAATGACGTCCTGGCAGGAGAAGTTGACGAGCGAGTTTGACGTCTTGATCAGTGAACGAAACTAACCCAGCCCATGAAACTTGCTTGAAAACTTCCCGCTCCAAGGTCAACTTCCATATATCTAAACAGCCACCCTGGCCCCGCCACATTGACATCGGACCCGGATAACGTCAACGTCGTTGGCGCCGTATCAGTGCATCTGTGCTCCCAGCTTCCACTCAATCCCATCTCCCGAATTCCCGAGCCACAGCGCCAACGACCAACACCCCTCCGCCGGAGAGGCCTTTCACCAATAACTTTCCAACCCGCCATTGAAACCCGCGAGAGCAATCCTCTCGAAGCTCCAATATGGCAGACCACGAATATTCAATAATCAAACACCAAGACCACCTCCTCCTCGTCCGTGCTCCCCCTCCTCACCCTCCCGTTACGATCTGAACTAACCCATGCCACCAGGACCAACCCCTCCTCCGCCTCCCCTACGAACTCCTCCGCAAAAACTTCCGTCAAGCCCACTTCACAGTCGAGAAGGACTCGGCAGCAATCAAGTTCCTACTCAAAGAGACAGCCACCGCCTCTGTCAACGGCCGCGCCTCCCCCGACGATGTCCTCAAGAACCTCGACACAATGATCGCCCGCATGCGCGGCGTAAAACGGAAACTCACCGCCCATGCCGACGAGGAGGCCCGTCTGACCCGCCAGGCCGGCGCCAGGATCTCACATCTCGGCGACCTGTATGGCATGCACTCCGTCGACGACGTCAAGTATGAAGCGTGGAGCCGCGCGCGGCTGGATCGTCTGCTGGTCGACTACCTCTTGCGGCACGGCTACAACGAGTCCGCCAAAGCCCTGACAGCGGAGCGCGGCATGGATGACCTCGTGGACGTGGAGACGTTTGTGCAAATGAGTCGAATCCAGGAGGCGTTGCGGAACGGAAGCGTCGTAGAAGCTCTTGCGTGGTGCCAGGATAACAAAAAGGAACTGAGAAAGATGGATGTATGTTCTCTCCCTCTGCCACCAGCCCCCTCCAATAATACTAATGAACCATCTCAGAGCAACCTCGAATTCATGCTCCGGTTCCAACAATACATCGAACTAGTCCGCACCCAGTCCCAACCAAAACTGCTGGAGGCAATCGCCCACGCGAAGAGATACTTGGTCCCGTTCAAGGCGACCTACCCGGAAGAGCTCCGCAAAGCCTTCGGCCTCCTCGCGTACCCCCCGAACGCCGCCAACGCAGTCTACTCCGACCTCTACAGCCCAGACCGCTGGAACACCCTCGCGGACCTCTTCACCCGCACCCACAACTCCCTCCTCGCCCTCCCCTCCTTCCCGCTCCTCCACATCGCCCTCTCCTCCGGCCTGTCCGCCCTCAAGACGCCGGCCTGCCACTCGGCAAACTCGTCCCACGTCGCCCCCTCAGACGCAAACACCGCCACCAACGCCTCCGCGACGGCAGGCACCCAGTCCGTGTGCCCCATCTGCTCCACCGAGCTCAACGACCTCGCGCGCAACGTCCCGTACGCGCACCACACCAAGAGCTACGTTGAGCACGACCTGTTGCTCCTCCCAAACAGCCGCGCCTACGGCAAGGAGCGTCTGGAAGACTACGCCAAAAAATCGGGCCTCCCGCCGGACCAGGTCAAGGATCTGAGGACCGGCGATATCTACTCGGTAGACAAGCTTAAGAAGGTCTTCATTACATGAGCAATCTGCGCCCCTTCGAGAAGGACGAAACGGCGTTTGTCCTCCTCGATATGTGTACCACATCATTATGTCTTCACCAGGTTGCAGGTCCGTTTGTTACAGCGTAAAAGGTCATTTCAAATGGGTTTGGAGTTTCAGGCGCAGCGTCCCCCTTTTTTTCTTGGAAATTTCTTAGAAACCAGGCAGGTTTCAATCGAAGAAGTACAGTTGTACCAGAGTGTTTAGACAAACCCAATCAAAGAAACACCCGTTAAATCAAATGTGTCGTCGCCGTCATACGTCTTTCGCAGACAGACCGAATCAGGATACATCATCAGCAGCAGCACTGTGAACAACTAAACACGCGTTTTAATTGCAGTCATTCCCCCAACCCCACCGTTTGATCCAGGTATTCACAATACAGTACATGATTAAGAGAAGTTTCATACGCTCGTCCTCTCTTATCTCGCTCTCTCTCACTCCCGCTGTGTCTTCTTCCTTCTTTAGTTGGTGACAGCCCGTTTTCCTTCCTTGACCCTTCCAGCACCGCAAGCTGGGTTCACTTTCCGGGCCGGTAATGCATATATAGCTTTCCATCCATCAACGTCCTCGATGGCGTTTGTTATTTGTGTGTCAGTGTGTTTGTGCGTTTCCCCCCTTTCCTTGAAATGAAAGAAAGCCATGAACACCGCCCACTCCTTGGTCCAACCCAGGTTTCCAACAGCCGTGCTCGTTTTCCCTTTTTTTCTGACGTGATTCATGAAACCAGGACCTTCCCGAATCCCAACTCCATATCGAGTCCGCGCACACAAAGACGTTTGACCGAAAAAGACGAAACGAGCCCAGAAGGATGTTGCTCACCCCTCTGGAACCCGCCTCAAACTAGATGTACTCCCGAGGCTGAGCTTGTTCGACATAAAGAGTGGATAACAGCTCGTGGACCTTCAAGAAAGAAGGAATATTATGCAAAACCAAACCCAGCGAGGTTGTGCCCCCGAGAACAAGTCACCATGGCCAGTCTCAGGGTACAACACGCGCCAGAACCCTAAAGCATCCCAGTGTGGTAATAGTAATGGGCGTCCGGAGGCTTAACTTCCTAACTTCTGCCTGCAAAGGCAAAGTTACCGAACACGCCGCCGCCCCCACCCGGTGTCATTGGGCCCATCGATAGGCCGTTGGTGTTGTGGGATTGCGCGGCGGGTGTGCTCACAAGGCCGACACTAGCAGTGTTGGGCGTGCTTGGCCCGCCGTTCTGCTGGCCGTTGGGTCCCTGGTGCGACTGGTCCTGGTTGCCGGCGTTGTTACCAAACGGCAGCCGTTCGAGCACCAACAGGTCCGGAATGCCGAGTCCCCACACCTTGCCAACGTGCTCTTCGGGGATCTCTCCGTTGAAGATTTTGTCGCGCATTTGGAAGAAGACCTTGCCCGTGAGCAGAGAGTCGGAACCGGCCTGATGCGCGTTGCCCACACGCTTGATCTTGAGGGAGTCGGCAATGTTCTCGAGACCAGACTTGTGCTCGAACTTTTGGAGGATGTCGGCGCTGCTGGGGTCGCTAGGGGTGAGGAGTCCCGAGTTGTGCAGTCGGATGGCATGCTTCATAAGGTGCTTGACATCATAAGCTGACGGGAAGTACTTCTTCATGACTCCATCGAAGTCCGCTTCGTCGTTGGGAAGGTCGTTGCAGGTGAGGAGCTTGGTGAGGTACCCGAAATCGTAGCCACCGTGGAAGGAGATCCACTTTACGTTGTCGAAGCAGACGAGACCGGACGGGATGAGGAGGGAGGCGAATTCGTGAGGGTCGATACCGTCTCTCTCGAGGAGAGCAAAGTCGATGCCCGCACTCGATAATGATTCGATCGATTTCTCGTTGTACATGTCGTCCTTGACGGAGAATTTGAAGTTGAACTGCCAGGCATAGGGGAAGGGACCTTGCGACGCGGCCCTTTTGCCCGCGGCACCTAGTTCAATGTCTTGAGTCGAATTTGGTCGCGCAGGAGGCGTTTCGCCGTCTTCGTTAAACAGTGTCAACCCGATCTGGATGACTTTGAGCATATCAACGTTGGTGCGCAGGCACTGGTAGTGGTAATCGCTCTTCCCCCTGAAAGAGCCCATCGGCCGTGACACCACGCCTGGAAATTCGGTATCCTACGATTGACAGTCGTCAGTTTTGGTCTTCCCGAGTCTCGGGGGCTGAGCCTCAGCTAACCATGGCAATATACGGGTACTTATCGACGAGCTCCCTCAACACGGCCATCTCCTCGACAAGATTGTGCTTCCAGACCTCACGTATCCTTCCCTTGTTCTGGGTCGTTCGCGCCGGCGCACCGCCATGGTCGAGCCCGAAGTTGTGCTGCGGCTGGCCGTGCGTTTGCTGCTGCAAGTTCGCGGCGTGGAAGCTCATGCGCGCAGCGTGGCTGCTGAGGCTGTTATCGGCGCCGAGGGGGAAGCCGCCGTTTAGACCTGGAGTGCCGCCGAGAACATTTCCGTTCGTAGAAAAGGGGCTGATCTGGGCGTTGGCGTTGAGGTAGGAGGGATTGCCGCCGAGGGGAGGCCCATGGTTCGCGGCATGGCCTTGGGCGGCGTGGGAGGGGAACTGCTGGTGGTAAGGCGATATGGTGTTGGGCCCGCCAGGGAACCTAGGGATCGGTGGCGGCATGCCAGAATATGCCTCCCGAGAAGGGGCTTCAAGTTATATATGAAGTGTTGCGAGTCTACCGCGTCGTCGAACGATGTTTCGTCGGTCTCTGAGGGGTTGTGGACGATCCACGGCCCTGCATTTGCGTCTGGGGTTGAGGAGGTACGGGGGCTGGCAGCAGAAGAGCGCCTTTGTTCTCCGCCGCCGGTCGTCGGAACTCGGTCTCGCTCGGTGAGATGCGTCGTCCAAAACGTTCGATTCTGCGCGTGCTTCGGTATCGTTGCGACGATTGATGTCTGTTTCGTTCGTTCTGAGTCGTGCTATGCGATGGGCGCTGGGTAAAGATACGTCTGGCTGAGCTCGGTTTTAGGGACAGAATGTGTGTCTACGAGCCCAAAGGCTTGCTGAGTTGACCATGGACGGAGGAGTGGTCTGTGCGGGGCCACGAGCCAGAAAGGTACGTACCCGCGGGACTTTCCGACGACAACATCTCAAAGATCTCCAATCAGCTTCTTTCCAACTCGACTGACCACAACCCCGAACCGTCCATTGTTGTACGGCGAGACGACATTCACACAGCAATCATGCAGCCATCGAGGTATACTCCTTCCAAAGCGCTCAATTGACTTGGTGCATTCGAGACCAGACAACTAACGGACTCCCTCCGACCATAGGATACTCAGGGCCGCCCACGGCCCGAAGCCCAATGTCACCGGCTTCGACATGAGAGCCTTCAAGGAGGCCGCCGGACAGCCTAGATACGACCCCTGGGAGAGAGCGTTAGTGCAGACCACTGGCATGCGGGTGCTTGCGATTTCTGGACAACCGCTGACGGTGGAGATACAGAGAGTCGTGGAGATACAAGGGCCCCTTCACGAGGTTCAACCGATTCAAGGGATCCTTCCCCGGCCTGGGCATTGCGACCGTCGCTTTCGCAGGCTACTGCGCGTACGAGTACTTCTTCCTGGCCGACGACCACCACCACGGCGACAGCCACGGCAACGACCACCACTAGAAGGGCGGCTTGGAGGGGAAGCGAGACGGAGGGGAGTTGCTCCGCTGTACATTTACCTCTCGAGTCGGCAGACCGGCTCGCTGGAAGGGTGTAGACGAAGACGAATTGTATTCCCGCGATCAAGAACACTGCCGCATATGACTCCGAAGGTGCCGTGATGTTAAGACTGAAGAGGCAATAGTGTGGTTGGACGGTGTGCTTTGCGATCGAAGCATTCAAAGCTCTGGTCTAAGATCATGCCCGAATGCCCCCTCTCAAAACAGAAGGCATTCTGTATGCATTCGTCGCCAAACTACGGCGGCACCTTTCCGGGCTCGCTGGTCTATATCTGGAGGCTATGCGAGGCAGTCAGCCCTTGAACATTCATGCTCAAACCATAGAAGCTACCTATCAATCTTGTGGTTTTGTACTAGCTACGAAGAGAATCGAACAGTCAGTGCGTACCAGTATGACATGTTTGCTTGCTTCAAACCTGTACGGCTCTCATCCTCACAGGATGTGTTGGCTTAGAACTACTTAGACTACCAAGCGGGTATCTACTTGAGCGCGAGCGCAAGCAGGGTTCTCGTAAACTCCCCAAGCTTTTCAGAGCGAGCACTGAGGGCATACTAGACACATCCATAAGAAACCACCATCATGGTTATCGCACATGTATCTAGCAGTAGACCGACCTCCAGGGACGTCAGCCTGTGAAGTATGCCACCCCCGCTAACCGAACCATATGGTTATTCGTCCTGTAAGACGGTTTCTGCATGAGCGACCACACCCCGCCTCATCTTCAGTTCTGAATTAAGTTTTCAGTGATCAAGGTGCCTCAGCCATCTCACTTAGCTCATATTACCACGTAGCAAATGCTCCCTCCTCAATAACCAGCGTACCTCGAACTGCCAGTGGAAGAATGTACTTGAACAGACAGCATGTCCCGTCGAGAAACGTTTGTCGTCCCTTTCGCACAACGTCGTTGCACAGACACCCGTTTCAACACATCATCCCATCCCATCACAGCTTCTGCTCAGTCCAAGCTTCTGACAAGTCGGGGTCTGTAACGTCTTGTGACGTTGTCCAAGAGCTGTCAGATGTAGGTTTTTTTTTTCCTTTGATTGCAAAAATACTTTCCTTCGCCTCGCTAACATCATGCAACACGCAGCCGTGTAAGTACTCAACAAGTGCTTGATTCTCTACACCTAGCTCATACGTTAAAGAGGTATATGCCGTATATCGCCAAACGTCAATAATGCCAGCTCATTGGTATCACGTTGTCCGTGTTATCCCGTAACCGTTTCCGTATCCCTAAACGCCAATGAAAATCCAACAGATAATGGGCCGTTATAGAAGTATATGTAAATCCGCCTCTTTCTCTTAGTCAAGTCTAAGACCGTTCACGACGTCCAACGCAGTATCCACACACGTTTCGAGCTCAGCAACACGGTGCTTCAGGCCGCGGTTCTCATCCCTCAGTAGGCTGACGGTGTCCCACGCAGCCCGCTCGTCCTGGCCGCGACAGTTCGTACATGACGTCGCGCCGGCTTGTTGGTTTGCGTCGCCCGTCACACCTCGCATCAACTTCTGGAACACGCTCGTCTGCTGCGGAGTCTTTGGGGCAACCGGCCGCGACGCTTTCGGGGGGCCCAGGGTATTGCCGGTATTGCTCCTGGCGAGCGCGGGAGGCGTATCGTTACCCTCAAAGACGCTCGGCGCGGCGGTGGTCGGGCTTCGTGATCTCGAGAAGACGCTGGCGTCCTCGACGCTTTCCTCATCGGTGTCGAACCCGGCACTCTTTCTCCACTTTCTCCTCGCCTGATCTTCCTCCACACCCAGGTCTTCGGATATTGATGATCCCTCGGAAATAGGCCGGCCCCGTTGGCTCATCAAACGCTCCTCTTGCCTTGCCTTTTTCTCCGCCGCTAGTTCCGCCATGAGTTGTTGCATGGACTGCTCCTGCTCGGCGACCTTGGAGGCCATGTTCTCAAGTTGAACCTTTAGGTGCTGAATTCGTGTGTCGGCTTCCTCGTTCTCGTCCTCCTGAGCGTCCTTCTCTTCCCGCATCTCTTGGATTGTGGCATGCTGCCGTTGGAAGGCGTTTTGGTATTTCGTCAATAGGCCGATTGCCGTAGTCTCGAGATTCTTGAACGCCGCAGGGGAGAAGGCGTCCCGATGTGTCGGTGAAGACGGAGGGAAGAGGGCTTCTTGGATGTTGAGGCTTAACAGCTCCTCGTCTTGCTTCGGGTCGGGGACAGCCTGGTTACTCTTCCCGAACGGAGAGCTGAAGAAGGCGAATCTTGAGGTATTTGGCGAGGTTCCTTTTGACGTTTGGCCAGCTGTCGCCCTCCTCTGCAACCTCGAGGGCGTTCCGTCTGCGTCGACATCGTTCATTTTGTTCGTCTGGGTTGTCGGACTGGTTCCTTCCGCGCTGTTGGGAGATCCAGAGCCGCCCAACCAACCGCTCAGTATTCCTCCTCGAGCGGCGTCTGGTGATTTTCCACTTCTGTTGTCTCCGGTAAGAGGCATCGTGACCGACGAGGGACGGCCGCTCCCTCGCTCTGTAGATGGTGAGAGCGTCACCTGCGGGATAGAGTAGTTTGTGCGTGTGGAGGGTAAGTTTGGAACAGATTGCTGCCTCTGATGTCCAGTCTGGAGTCTTGGAAAGCTTCGGTTGGCGGCAGACGGACTAATGCGACACGGTTCGGGTTGGGTAGGCGGGTTGGTGTTTATGGCAGCACCGGGGGTAGCGCTCGGGGAAGTTGGATCGACGGCTGGATCTCTGCTCGCGGGCCCATGTGCATGGCGTAGAGTTTGAGAGCCGTCCATTCCAAAGTCCGTCGTTGGGCGCGGAGCGGTAGACGGGTAGTCTGAGGTGGAGGCGGCGTGACGACTTAGCATGATGCGTTAATGTTTCGTGTGGGACGGGCAATATCTCTTGCCTCCCAGCTTCAGTAGGGAGGTACAAGCTCTGCTCGCTGGGATAGGCTTGGGCCGGGGTTTGCGGGCTTGTTGGTACTGGAAATGTGAATGGATCAACACTGGCAAGGCCCAAACAGTGAACAGTGACCGAAGAGTAGGGACCCTTTCTTGAGCTAGGAGCACCCCGAGTCGCAAGCGGCCTGGGCCAGGAAAATGAGTGCGGTTAGGGCGTTGGGGAGGGAAGTGAGAGGAGGCCAGACTCAGAGTCTCAGTCGCTGGTAGGGGAAAAACGCTGGTCGGTCGATTTGGACAAAGGGGAGCGAGGGACTTCAGGCGAGAAGCCAGGTTCCCCTGCAAGCGAGGAGAGCGAGCGGCCGGGTTGCGACTAGGGAGCGATATTGACAGGCGACGGTGTACTGCGCGGTAGGCTGCTTGGCTTGCACAACTCGCATGAACCTCTCGGAATGAAATGGTTGAAGACGGACGGACCCGGTCCTTGCAGGTGTGCGCAGGCTGCCGGATCGAGGAACAAAAAAAGAAGTGTCGAGAGGCGTCGGCGGCGTTTTCTTCGCGGGGGTGGTTTGTTGGACGTCGAGCTGTCAAAGTCGCAGGTGAGTACGCAACTGCGCTTGTGGCTGAGAGCTAGCAGTGCGGGTAGATCTCTCTGAAGGCATCCGTCTTGTGTCGTGTTGATATTGATGCGCTGTGTTGTATTGTGTCTCCTATCGCGGGAGGAGAAAAAGCGGGGGCCAGAAGTTGTGCCGCTTTGCAATCCAGTCGGTCAAAGAAAGGCAAACGGCCGAGTCAGGAACTGCAGGCACGATTGGTAGAGAGGCCGTCTCCGTACGGTAGGCTCCGGAGGTAGGCCGTGGAGTGAGTGCGTAGGCAAATGACTGCGAAGGGGTATCGAGCAAAGAGAAGCCGTCGGTTTCGCTGTAGCACTGCACTGCACTACAGGACCACAGAGAATGTCGAAGAGGCGTAAATGTTCAACGAGGGATCCTTGCGTTGGCACGTTGGGTCTTGAGGAATTGTGTTTGCTCCCACGAGGTCGGGCTCAGACTTGCAGGCCGTTATGACGGAGAGTAAAACCTTGGAATCAGCCAGCGACGCCCACGGAACGTGATGGAGGCGGCAAGCATAGGTCCCTGGGAAAAAGCCAAAAGAAAACCAGAACCAGAAGCCGACGCGGACGCGGCAAGCGACGTCAACAAAGTCAAAGCCGACATTTGGAGGAGGTTGGGGGAGACATGTCCAACTTTCCCCCGTCTTTCGGGCTGTGAGACCCCGTCAACCCATACAGAGCCCAGCATCCAGTATCCGCTGGCTCCAGTGGCCGGTGGCCAGAACATGGAAGCCATCATCAGTTGACCAGCTCCCCCTCCAACTCCTCCACTCACAGCAACCTCTGGCCGCCCTGCCATGCACCGGCTCGTCAGCCCGCCCCTCGGCAAGCAATCAGCCACCAGAGTCCGGCCTTCTCTCTCTCTGCGTTCCTTTCGCAGTCCGTCAGTTGCGCTGCGTTCTGGGCTCTTGAGGACCCGTTTGTGCCGGTCGCCGGTCGGCCCTCCAGTTAGGTACGTAGACGCACACAAGAGGTACGCGTGCCTGGGCACTCTACGGGGTACATGGTGCACGTACCACCCATCCCTGGGCGCTGGGGCTCCTGGACCCTGGAAGTCGCATTGCAGGCCGATGCACTTTGGCACTCTGCAGCGGCCAGACGGGAGGAATTCACTGTTGGAAGGAATTGTGCTCAATGCTGTCCCGTGCGTGCGGATGTCAACTCGGCACAAGCACAATTGCCTTTGCATTCCTCAATCCCTTAGCTCTAGGTATTTCATCCATAAAGTTGGTATGCAACTTGGGACGGGGCAGGTCATGATCTAATGTCCAACGTTGTTTTCACAACACCACTTCACCTCTCAGCTGGGTGGCCACCCTCACTCAACCCAACTCACCACCAATTCTCTAGCTGAACTTGGATATCCCCAAGTGCGGTCATAGAACCCGTCCGTTTGAATCTTACCTTGATCCTGAGCGATTCCGCACCATCAAGGATCTACAAAGCAGGAAGGCAAAACATCGAAACGCCAATGATCCTCAGTTGCTCAGCTCGTCAACCGGTCACGCTCAGGCACGCAACAACCCCTTCAGTCGATATTCACGTGCAGATGTTCATACTAGCGAGATCAAGAAAAAAAGTTCCGATCCCTAGTCCAAACAAAGAAACAAGATCGAAGAAACATTTTGCTTCCTTTTCCGCCCCCTTTCCCCCTCGTCGTATCCTCCGTCTCGCACGGCCGATCAAACAAAACAGACACCACATCGCAATCTCCACCATTCCTTCTAGCGAAGAAACAAAACTGTGGGATACGCGCCCCCATCCCGTGAGGCTTAAACAGACCTTCTTCCATGGCGAATTCCATTCCATTGTGCGGCTGGCGTTGAAGTCTGAAGAATATCTTGAAATAGACCCCGACCTAACACTACAACATTCCATCACCCATCGACCATCATCGACACAGAACCTCCCTCTCGGTCCTCGCACGTTCCACCGCCATGCCCGCTGCGGTAGCGTTTCCCTTCATGCCGAACCAAGCTCTGATTTTCTGGAATCCTTCGGTGGCCGGTGCTTTGCCGCCCTTCGGAACCGAAACAGAAGGTGACAAGATTAACTTGTGCGGGCCAAAAAAGGCAAAGGCCACTCTGAGCCCAGGGTTGCAGATCGTGACACCCGTCAAGAATGGGAATGTGGTTTTTCCCTTGCCACCCTCGGCACTTGTGAATGCGGTTGAAGTGCGGGGTTGAATAGCCATCTATTATTTTACCTTTGGTCAACTTGTTCGTGATGTTTCCAACAGCACTTTAACGGAATTGACTCTGATCATTGTTTCACTTACTGCGCCAAGAACTCGTAGACGGCCGGGGCCTTCATGGCGCTGCATTATCCCCACAAACGCCCCTATTCATCATCCGGACCGGCCGGTGGTCCTCCGGGGTTCCGGGGCCGGCTTCATCGGCCGGATATCGCGATGGCCATGACTGCGCTTGCAGGGACCTGGCATTAGTGATATTCTTGCCATGGCAATGCCAATCCGGATGTCGCCAACGAATTCAGTTGCCGGGTGTGACGGTCGCGGCCTCCAGAGGCGCAGTCGCGGCGGCTGATCGACGTTGCGGCTGATATGCCAGGAACAGGGTATCTTGGCAGAGGACGTCATCATGATTTCTTCAACAGAAATCCTTCAACCCCAACCGACAATGCTACCCTGCCCTGATTGCATTCATCGTTTGCACTTCGTAGCTCGCATTACATGGCGAAGCTGGGCCCAGGAGCTCATGTGGCGAACTGCGCGTAATGCTGATGAAATGCCTACTAACATTATTGAGGATGCTGTCTTGTTTTAGAAGACAACTTAATGCTTAATTGAGAAATTGGCTATAACAAAGTTGATCCGTCGCACTAACTTCACCAGGCTGTATGTTGCAAGCAACGTAACCACCGTCGCAACCAACATCACCACCTCAACCTCTGGCCTTCCTAAGCATGCTCCAGCGTCTGAACCGCGACAGCTGCTTCACAGCCTCCCTTCGGAGCTCAACATCCCTCGGCGGCGGTAGTCTCCTGTCATCGACCTCGTAATAGCTCTCCTCAATGGCTTCAAACCCATATTTCTCATACAGCGGCTTCCCGCCCTCGCTAGCCTCGATGTAGACGTCCAACCCCATGCAATCAGCGCGCTCAACAACCCAATCCATGACGAGAGACGCCGCGCCCCGACGTCGATACTCCGGGATCGTGAACAAAATGTTTAGAACTGGTGTAATCTCGACGTCAGTCTGCGAAGCGACCCTCGCGTGAAACCTGATTTCGCTTCCTGCGACAGACTCACACGCATGCGGCCAGTTCGCATTCCTCACAGCCCTCTCCAGAAAATCGTTCAACAGCAAACTCGCAACCCACCGCGGCTCTCCCTCCGGGAACCACGTCGCTTCGACCTCCCGATGCCCGTCGTACGGGTTCGGGCCGCCCCTCTCGAAGAAGCTCCACCGGCCGCCGGCGACAATCTGCCCCGTCTCGTCGTCGATGACTTTGAGCCATGTGCTCGTCGGGTCGGCGCGGTGCTCGGCTCGCATCCTCTCCGTGGCCTCCACGAGAGCAGCCTCGCGCGCCGCGGGGTCGTCGGGCTTCCAGTCGCCCATGAAGAGTCGCCAGACGGCCGTGTCCGGGTTTGCGAACCCTTCGCGCAGGGCGGCGATGAGCGGGACAAACTCCTCGTCGGTCTTGACCTCCTGTAGTACGAGACGCATGATGTTGACTCTGCGGCGGCTTTCGAGGGGAGGACCGATTTCGAGCCGGGTGTCTGGGCCTTCTTTCGTTTTATACCATGCCAGAATCAATGACATTAATATAGTTCACGCGATGTTTCACACAAACGGGCCCTGTTCGCAGAATGGACATACAATACGAATGTCTCGGATTTGGGAAAAGCACATCAACAACTTCGAAGAAACAGGTAGGATCCTAACTGCCCGTGGGCTAGGTATATTCCATGCCAGGCGCAAGAATCCTCTCTCGCGTCCTCAGCATTAAGACTGAACCCTAAAACTGGCTCGCAAGGAATCGAGCCTCTCAAAACCGTTGCTCAACCCATTAATGGTATCCCAAACCAACCAAAGACCTGAATGAACCCAGAACAGCCGCACACCGATTTTTCCTCCACTCTTCCCCGATCGCCGTTCTCCATGTTTAGTAGAACGACTCGACCATGGTGTCCTTGAGGTTGGTGTTGACGTTGCTGGGACCCAGACCCTCGCCGAGCCTGAACACGCTCTCGATGACGCTCAGCTCCGTCGCCGTGGTGTCGAGACCGGTGACAGCCATCCAGTCGTTGACGACCATGCCGGCACCGACAACGTTGCTGCCGCGGTTGACACTGCCGGCGACCAGAGGCACCTGCAGAAGACTGGAAAGCTCGTCCTGGTCCTGTATCGAGGTCTTGGGGTGGACGAGACCACCCTGGTTGGAGAGCGACATGTAGGATCCGACCAGCACGTTGTCGGCAATGGTCTGGCGGAAGACCTCGACGCCGAGAACGTCGGCAATGATCTCCTCCGTCTCGCGCTCCAGGTCAGGGTGAATCAGAGCGATGTGGTCGTTGCAGACAATGACGTTGCCGAGAGCGGAAAGACGCTCCTCTATTCTCTGTATGCGAATTTCGTCGGGCAAGCTATTGCGAAGATGTTGGAGTTCTTGGTCTGTTGTGCTCGTGGGAACAAGGAGGCCCTTGCGGTTACTGGAAGGTGATGGTCAGCTTGAATTGTTTGATGCTCACGCGACCTCCAACACGGCCACCGAAAAAGGCACCATCAGAGATTTTAGAGGTGTTGATGTGCTTACCCAGCTGTTAACCGGCCAATGATTCTCGTACCGGCAATGGTTGTCCGGCAGATGGGGATGACATCTTGCAGCTCGGCCTCGAAGACACTGTAGAAGTTCTCGCTCGCACCGAGGGCGGTCAGAGCATAGGAGTTGGTGAGAGTCGCAAAGACGCCGACCCTAGGAGTCTCAAAGTCAGCATACCGAGTTGTCGGTGGCCGGATCGCTGCAGAAAGCAGGATGGCGGGGTCGGGTTCGGCGGGGCTTTTGCTCACTCGTTGGAGTTCTCGAACTGCGCGCGCACAGCCATGATTGTGTTTGTCCCGGTAAGCTCGGTGCTGACTGTTGGAATGGTGAAGAGGGGATGCCAGTAGGGCTTCGTAAGAGTAGTTTGGTCGCAAAAAAAGGGCCCTAAAGGGTATGTTGTCGTGGTAAGGGTCCTGGTGGTTTGGTGATGATGGAATTTTTGCAGAGGCGGAAAGGTCCCATTAATAAAAAGCGTCAATCGCAGAGGTCAAGGTGGGGCAGGCACGGCTGGCTGCCCGCTTTCTGCAACTTTTTGGGTGCTGTTGCCGCTTTGGCTAGGCTTTTGCGCTGAGAGCGGGGCACACCGGGCTGTGGACCCCTAGATTCACTGCGAGCCAGTGGGAGAGGAGGGACGGAATGTATGGCTGATGAGTCACTTTGCCTACAACGAGCACGAAACCGTGCTAATTCGATGGTTTCCATTACCAACTGCCTTGTCCGCGTCCTAATTTTTTGGCTGACGCATCGCCACTCTGACTCTTCATTACTGCAGCTCATAGCTGGACCCATTGAGGTTCCTGGTGAATCATTCTGGCGCCCAGCCCGTGCTGCGGCCAACCCCGGACACTACCCCAATCTGCTTCACCGTTTGAATCACTCTAATGGCCCATCATCATGATGGCTTGGGCTTTCTCCCCAGGAGCAGGAATTGCGGTTTCTAGCCCCTGCATGCTGTGCATGCTAAACCAGACTTAGCTGGGTTCTCTTAACGACGCTTCACCTTACTTCTCTCATGCTTCGCCACAAATTCCTCCAAATCGACGTGTATCCGCAATCCCTTGGAGGTCATCGTGTTGAAGACAGACCTGAGCTCGAACTCATCCATGACGTTGATGAGCGTTGTGTATGCCTCGAGGGCCAGATCCTTCGACCATGGACAATGTCGCAGCCCGCGGAAGAAGACTTCCTTAGCCTTGTGCCGGAACTGTTTCCTTGCATAGCTGAACTTGATGTAGCATCGCCAGAACTCTGGGTTTGACCTGCATGCTGGGGTATCTAGAGCTCGCTCAAACGCCGCCTGGGTAGAGTGTACGTTTCCCTTCAGCAGCTCGTAGCGAATCGCAAACATGCGGCTCCCAATGCAATCGTTGGCATCGGTAAGTGTGACCTTCCGAAGAATGTCCCGGACAGGATCATCGATGCTGAAAGTCGTCGAAGCCCATGCGAAGAGAGAAAGGAAAATGGTGTTGCGTGGGAACAAGTCGATGCAATGAGCGAGCTGATCTCTCAAGTACGCTCGCCGGAATGGCCTGATGTATGTTAGTCTGGAAACTCTTGCTTGAAACTTGGTGAACTTACCCTCGACTGGCATGATGGTATAAAAGTCTTGCAGCAACCTGCAAGAGCCTTTCGTGGGCTTGAGACTTCGCTTGGCCCTGTGCACACAGTTCAGAAGAGACGGTCCATAGTCTTTCCATCGCCATGGATATGCTTCCTTGGGCCTCAGACGTGGGTTCGCTACCCTCTTGCGATGTGAGATATACCAGCAATGCAAGGCATTCTGCACTCAAAATAGCTTCATCCGGCTGCCTGAGAGAGAGTTGTTGCTCGAGGTCGTCCAGCAAAGTCTGACGAGCCTTCAAAAGCTGCGATGGAGACGGAGCTGCCAATCCCGGGGCATTCCTCAAGGACTGGTCAACCGAGGCACAGAGACGCAGTATGGCCTGATTCTTGTTCCCTTCGTCAAGTTCCATCCATGCCCACGTCTTGAAAAGCAACAACCCGCCGGTGGAGCTGGCAGGCTGAGATATGCGCGTTAGTGATACGGAAAATTCGTGTGGAGCGCAGCGAGCACTTACTGAGACCAGACTAGTAGCTGATGAGACAACCTGACGGCCAACTTCCAAGTTACTAGCTCCAACCTCGGCCAGTGCATAAGCGTTGTAGAGGGCCAGGTTTGACGGGTCTTTCTTGATGAGAGCTTTAGCGCGCTTTTTGACGTTGCCGGGTTCGTTGGCGACATCCACGGCCAATGAATACTCTGCCAAATCCTTCAAGCCGACCGATATTACGAGTTGTCGAAGACAATTCGCAACCCAAGATAAGTCTACGGGTCCATCGAGAGACTTGGCAGTGCAAGGCCAGCCACTGAGTAAGGAGAACCAATTCCGTCCAGCAAAGAGTAGATCGGAAGACACAGCAAGGCGCACCCCGTCTTGCTCGAAAGCGGGTATACTCTTGGTCTCGTCCATAATATCAGGTTCGTTCGGCTTGCGAAGGACGTCGGCCTCGAAAACGCTTAGACTGCCAACAACAAAAGAGTCATTCTCTGCGCTTTGGGTCCATGGACTCGAGCGAAACACTGGGGGAATACAGCAGAATATGAGAAGGCCATCCACCAATTGCTTCCAGACACGGGAAATTATTGTGGATGGGATGGCAAAGAGAAGCTCCTCGATGTCTGAATACATGACAACTCGGTATGGATCGTCCTCGAGAACATCATCCGTGGCTCGGCCTGGACTCCTGGAGCTTGTTGCCCGGAGACGCTCTGTCGCACCCCAAGATTTGTATACATCTCTGGATTGCACCATGGTGTCGTCGTCTCGTTGCTGTTCTGGAGAATCCACCGAACCATTGGTCTGGACGTAGTGGCTCCAGCCGGATGCGTTGTGCTCTCCTAGCCTTGGTGCTTCATCTTCCCAGAAATCTCTAAAACAACTCAGTATTTCAGATTCTGGCAGGGCGTCATGCGTGGAAGGTCGTTGCAAGTTGAGTTCGAGAAGCGCTTGCCACGCTGCGACTGCCGATTCACGATAGCCAGCGTCGTATATGAATCTGGTGACTCGCAAAAAGATGTATATCATCTGCTCGTAACGGGAAGCCTCCATATCGGTATTGGCGCTATACACTGGCCCTGGAGAAGCCGAAACGGATGACTGTTTGGCGACGGCTCGCAGGCGTTCAATGTGCAGCTTCTTGATTTCGCTGTACTCAAACGTCTTCAGGTCCGTGACTTTGCGGTCGATCCTGGCCTTCCAAAGACAGAAACTCACTTCGTGCTGCTTTGCCACGTCCGACCAACGGCTGTCAAGCTTTGACGAGGACCAGACCTTGGCACCCTCAAGCATGAGACCAAGGAGCAGCCGTTCTTCGTCTTCCGGTCTTTTGGCTTGGGCAAGTGCAGACTCGTACATTGATATCTTGATCTCTGCAAAACTGTGCATCTCACCCTTTGTTACTTCGCGGTCTAGACTTTCGCCAGCTTTGAGGAGAACGTCCTGATGGGCGATGAGCTCGAGCCATCCTGCAATGTCATCAGGATGTTCCTTGACCCGACGAGACAGGTGAATTGAACGTTGCTTGAGTGGGTCGTCTGTTTCCGTGTTCAAGTCGCCCTCCTGGTCGGCGTCAAAGTCGATGTCGCTATCAGAGAACTCATGGGCCTTGGCCTTGCCCTCGATTGATCTGTAAGAGGGTTTATCGTCTCTATCGGACTCTGGCTCTTCGGTGCGGTGTCTTTTGGACGACTTGCTGAGTGGTACGAAGTCCTCTTCGGCTTCCTCTTGAATTTCGTCTCGTGGGCGAATGCGTCTTGTTTTCACTCTATGAACCCTCGCCTGGAATAGAGCTCTGTCTCGCAAAGTAGAGCTGCCCTCGCCAGGCATCCGAATGCTGAATTCTTCTCTGGGGCCATCTCTGTGGATAATGAGGTAGCCATCAGAACCGAGGACTTTTCCACGCCCGTCACGACGATATGTGGGCACCTTGCCGCGGTCGTTGCCGCCATATCTCCTGATGAGGGGGTCACCTTTTGTGTCTATGACGAAGACGCCGTTTCCAGCCCTTTCTTCCAGAGTCGTGGCAACGTTGGGTCTTTTAGCAACAACAAGGGACCGTTCCTGACTGAGGCTGCGACTGCGTTTGCGATCACGGTGGCGGTGTTCCGATCGATGCTCTGATCGGTGATCTGACCTATGCCTCCGGTGGTCGTTTCGGTGCCTGGACTCATGCCGGGATTTCTTCTCCTTAGCTACCTCACCTGCCCCATCCTTCCGGCTGTGTGTGACTTCACTAGACGAGGATTTGGCCAACGGCACAGGATCGGGTGCCTTGGGCTTGAAGGTTGAGAACTTCGGCGCCGTCAACTTTTTGTCCCCGTTGTCTGACATATCGCCAATCTGCGGCTCACCAGGTCATAATTAAGGTGCGCACAGTCAGATGCGCGAAACCGTGACGGCCGCTTGGCAGGCCTGCAGAATGATCCCACGCGAAGGGTGGATGCCGCTTGTGGCGCAGAGACTATTGTCGCGATGAGATGAGGTCGACTGACGTTGGCGCGTCGAGGCTTCTGGCGACTCGGAACGGTGACCGAAACGGAGGATTGGCGACGGTGGACAAATCAAAAGTCGAGTTCGTGCTGTTGATGTGCAACATGTGATTAGGTAAGATGGCCCCAAGACGGTAGTTGTTGTGGTGGGGGTACGGAGGTGTTCCGTTCCAGAGTTGCACCGTTGCACCCAAGAAGGTTTCCAGGCACGTGTCTGCAACGGGTTACAGTGGCGCCCTCCACGCCTCACTTCCTTCAGTTCCCAGATAATAAATCGGGGCGCTCAGCTAGGGACATCTGGGGTTGGAGCTGTGGGAAAAAACAAGACATGACCGGGCCCAGGATGCTGGGTTATGTCTGGGTCTCGAACCCAAGGCGCTGCGTCTGTATCCAATTATTTGGAAACGAGGCCAAAACGAGCTGATCGGTAGGTTGGTTCAAGAATAGTCGTCGCGATGCGACTGTCATCGAGTCACGGCGGGTGATGCCTGCCACCAGGTGGCTTAAATAGCACTGAGCAATCAAAGTGGTGTGCTGTCTTGCACCGGCGGGCTCTAATGTAGGACATTGAACGATGTGATGCAGTCGAAGGAAATAGTCTGGTTCTCTGCGTCAAACTGCGGAACGTTCCAGGCAAAGGCGACACTTAACGGTGCGGATTGCCGTCCTCCAGCCACCCTTTACTCGTGACAGATGCTGCGCAGGGAACTGGACGTGGGATTGGCTGCTGATTGGCTGCCGGTGGCGTGCGGCGGAGTGGAAGTTTGCGGAACAGGTCGGGTCGGCTTTCCACTGCTCAGGGCCCTTCAGTGCGAGGTAGGGATTCAGCAATCTCAGGGTCCTACCTCGCCTCGATCCGACCGTTTTGGCGGAAAGTGCGCTAAACTCGGGGCCAATAACCGCCGTCCAGTGGCATCCAGAGGCATCCACCAAAGGGTCACCCGGTGCAATGACCTCACGGCCAAGCCTTTCTAACACCCTCTAGTGCTTCCTCTTCCACCGCCTTTGCTGCGAATAATTTCCAGCACTGTTTACAAGGGTGGATCACGCCCTCGACTTACCGCGCGTGCCCGGTGCACAGCCCGATACCTCGATGCCTCGGGGGGTAGGGGCAGGGGGTGGGGGGGCCTGAGGAAAGTGGACGGGGTCAAGACCGTCTCGAACCAAGTTATCGCATTTTGTTTCGCTTCCAACTTGTTCTGACCTGCTGCCGATCGTCTGTTGCGGTGACGGGCCTTCAGGTTTTTTTTGAATCATTTCCATTCTTTTCCTCTTCCCCGTCCATCTGAATTTTGATTCATCTCGATCCTCCCCCGCCTGGCCGAACCGAAGTGCCGTCTGATGGATAAGTAAACCTGCCAAGGAACTGCCATGTCTTGCCCGCGATAGTCATCCGCCTACCTTCGTCGCATCTGACACCGAACCCCTCGACGTGATCAGCCTCCCGCCGCCTCCCCAGCCAAGTCATATCCTGCTGTGTCTGCGTCTTCCCGTCTTTGGAGCAACCCGGAAGGATTCCACGTTGGCTTCACGTGCAGAGCTATAACCTGCTGCTACCAACCTTGTCCACTCAAGTTGATCGCCCGACCTGTCAAAGACGTCCAAGTCCAGACGTTCGCCTGCAACTACCCCTGAACACCTTCCAATAAGTGTCTCCTTCACCAACCTCGCCTCGACAACCTCGATCGTGTTCTGTGCCCTCAAGCTTATCCCATCTTGAGCCGACGGGCCTTGTGTGTCTTCTGGTTCTGCGCCCAATCTTTGGACGATTCGTGGAAGCGAGCCCAATCACGCATCACTCGAAACAAAACCGAGAACTTTAACGGCTCGAGCCGCTTTGCACCTCTGCATCAACTTTGATCATGGCCGATTTTCCAGATGACGCCGCGCTGTCGGTGCCTCCGTCACCGACGAACACGAGAAGACCGAGATTCGACCGGACAAGCTCGCTCGGCGAGCCGGACGAGCGCTCACCTTTACTCTTGAACTCGAGATCTCGGATTCGGCGACACCAAGCTAACCCCGACAGTCCCAAGTACCTGACTCCGGGCCTGTCGAGGAATCACAGCACGGCTGGTAAGTGTCTTGCTCGCTTCACATGCTTTGCGCGTATCAAGGAAACATGACAGCTGATCCATGTCCTTGCCTTCCAGGAAGCATCAGGAGCTTGCACCACAGTCGCAACCCTTCTTTCGGCGCTCGCTTATCGCACGCCTTCTCCGACTTCCCAGAATCTATGTCCGAGTCGAAACGATCAATTCTACCCGACGAACGAGTATGGTACGATCAATTCACGTCTACCGATTGGGTTCACGATAACATCGTCGATGCCCACCGAGCCAAGGCCCTCAAAATGCGCAAGGACTTCTGGGGAAGGATATATGCCATCTTCGATGCTTCGCAGGGCTGGATTCTTAGTGCCGTGTGTGGTGTAGCCGTTGCTCTCGTCGCATACGTCGTCAACTTGTCCGAGGCTACCGTATTCGATTACAAGTATGGGTACTGCACACGCGGCTGGTACATCAGTGAGAGGGTACGTTTCCTTGCCTCGGAGATAAGTCCACATAAGCTAATGGTACCAGAATTGCTGTCCAAAAGGACCATGTGATGATTGGGAGACGTGGTCAGAGTCCATGAGATTCTGGCCTTTTGGAGATGCCGGAACTGAATTCACAGTCTATCTCGTTGGTGTAGTCGGCTTGGCCTGCATTGCTTGCGCCTTGACGCTGACCACGAAAACCGTGGTACCCTCGGCATACCGTATGACGACCTTTGACGAGAATCTCGCCGCAGAACTTGCCCCCTACGCCGATGAACCTGCAAGTGACGAGAGCCCGACCCCTCCGGAGGTTGTTGAGCCGGTTACAGCGACATCAGAGCCCGAGCCGAACGTACCGCCCCCAATGATTTACTACTCAGCTGCTGGTAGCGGTGTCGCCGAAGTCCGCGTTATTCTCAGTGGCTTTGTTCTCCACGGTTTTTTGGGTTTGAAGACCTTGGGTATCAAATCTGTTGCTCTAATTCTCAGCGTTGCTTCTGGTCTTAGTCTTGGAAAGGAGGGCCCCTACGTCCACATTGCTACCTGTGTGGGAAACATTGCCTGCCGCCTATTTGCGAAGTACGACCAAAATGACGCCAAAAGGCGCGAGGTCCTATCCGCAGCTGCAGCCGCCGGTGTCGCCGTCGCTTTTGGTGCCCCGTTAGGAGGCGTACTTTTCGGACTCGAGGAGGTCTCTTACTTCTTTCCTGCGAAGACCCTCTTCCGCACATTCTTCTGCTGCATCGTCGCAGCACTGTCGCTCAAGTTCCTCAACCCCTACGGCACCCACAAGATCGTCATGTTCCAGGTCAAGTATGTCACCGACTGGCATTACTTCGAAATCGTATTCTTCATTGTCATCGGAATACTTGGCGGCGCCGCTGGAGCTATGTTCATCAAGGCGTCGAAGCATTGGGCCAAGACTTTCCGTCGGATCGATGTTATCAAGAAGTACCCTATGTTTGAGGTTGCTTTGGTCGCTGTGGTGACTGGCATTATGAGTTACTGGAACGTCCACACCAAGCAGCCGGTCGCTAAGCTCATGCTCAATCTCGCCTCTCCATGCCACGACGGAACTGATCGCGAGGACTACGGTCTTTGCCCAACGACATCCGAAGGCATCCCTCCTGTGCTTTCGGGCCTCTTCTCCGCGTTCTTGATCAAAGGGTTCTTGACAATCATCACGTTCGGAATTGTGAGTACATAATGCGCCCAGGGAGAGACAAAACTAATTCCTCGCAGAAAGTACCGGCCGGAATCTACGTGCCGTCCATGGTTGTTGGCGGTCTGATGGGAAGAATTGTCGGCCACGTTGTTCAGTACATTGTTCTCATGTACCCCACCTTTGGGCTTTGGGCTCGCTGTGCTGCATCGCCAACAGGATCGTGCATTCAGCCTGGTGTCTATGGACTTATCGCCGCCGGATCCACCATGTGTGGCGTCACTCGGTTGTCAGTGACTCTGGCAGTTATCCTCTTCGAGCTCACGGGAAGCTTGGATTACGTTTTGCCGTTTTCCTTGGCCATTCTCGTCGCTAAGTGGACTGCTGATGCCATTGAGCCCAACAGCATCTACGTGAGTACAGCCTAGCATGCCTGAAGGCTGAGTGCCAAGACTAATCTGAGCAGGACCTCCTGACCAACATGAACTCATATCCCTTCCTCGATAACAAGCATAAGCCAATCTTCACTTCCGACCTCGCAGACATCGTTCCTCGTGTTCGTCGGGAAAGGATCATTGACGTTAGCGCTTCTCCCGTCATATCCGCTCCCAGTCTCCGTAAGAAGCTTCAGACTTTGCACAGAGCAGGTGAACTGGATGGAGGTCTTCCCATCATCCGCGATGGTATTCTTGTGGGGCTTATTCCAGCTCCCGATCTCGAATTCGCTTTGGATAGCCTGGACGACGAAGCTTCAAGCATGTGTCTGATGGCGCATATCCCCACCATCGAAGACTCTGATGACGAAGAGATGGAGAGAGACAAGACGGATTTCACGCCGTACATTGACCCGGTGAGTTTGGATCCTTTTGAAAGTCGTTCTCGAGCACTGACCAATCTCTGCACAGGCTCCCGTTGCATTGGATATCAGATCTCCCATGGATCTTGTATATGAGTGCTTTGTCAAGCTCGGTCTTCGATTTATTTGTGTGCTCAAGAATGGGCGGTACGCAGGCATGGTAAGTTCGCAAGACCTGCTCACCAGCGATGAACTTAGCTCATTGTCTTTAGGTTCACAAGAAGAGCTTCGTCAAGTACATGCGAGAGCTTGAAGAAAAGGAGCACTAGTCTGCCGCTCTCAGGTTCTGTTTCTTATCGTTGCAAACCAATACCACACTTCGGCGGATGTTGTTCGGTAAATATCTGACGCATCAGAAAGGATGCGTAGCATCAAGCGCGTTTTGGGCAGGCAGACCATTCGGCATTTATAGCATGGCGTCACATCATTTCAATCATTTTATACGTTTTCATCGTTTGTTCCTGGGTTTGGTCCAGAAGTGGCACTATTTCTTACGCCAGATTGCATAGCATTTCTTAGTTTGTCCGACGACTCAGGATATATGGGAGAGGATAGATTGTCGTTCGTCGTGTCGCATGGTAGTTCTGACTGAAACAGATTGGTTGGTCACGTGCAATAAAAGAGTAGACTTCTTGAATATAAGATGTCGGTGTGGTGAGGGCCGTACGAACAGGATAGGGCACCGGCCCGTTAATGTCGGCCTCCGGCAGCGCGCGACGTTCCGGGTGGGCCCTCCCGTCTGTCGGCAGTGCGGCGCGAATTTCACCCAATCTAGAAAGCAAACCGCAATATTCGAACCTATGTCACCAAGATGGCTTTCCTAAATGCCGATGGCGAATCCATAATTCACTGTTATGTAATGACCGGCAAAGCCATTCCCGGCCCGGTTTCCGGTCCCGGCATCGGCCCTCTCGATCCGCAGGGGCGACCAGTGGATATCTTGAGGTCGCGGCATCGCGCTAGTCCCCAGGTGCTCCCCTGGCTAGGTGGATAGGTTCCCACCAAATGCTTATCATTGTCGGCGGGAAACGCTGTTATCGCCTGATACGCGCGGCGGGGGCGCGCGGACAGACACCGAGAGCGCGCACGTCGGATCTGTGATAGATGCGGTAATATTACAGGCACGTTGTGGTTGATGTTGCGGTGTGGCTTCTGGCGCTGCAATTCTGGAGGCTGCGAGCTGCAATATGCAAATCAGAAGCAGGCTTGCGGCTCGAGGCGGCAGAGACGGGAGCGGCACAGCTAGTTGGTGGCGAGGGGAAGCTAATTGCAGCCGCGACCGATCGATGCCATCCGAGATGCCGAATCTGCCATTGAACAGCAGCTTGACCACAGCCAGTCCCATTAGAACAGATGAAGCTATTACATATTACGACGTTTACGCTGCGCCCGAGCTTCCTGCAGCAGGAAGCTGGCTGCATATTGTGTCAGAGGCAGGTACCCTGATACACGGCCGCCCGCTACAGCCAGCCGGCGTAAAGGGCGTGATTTTACCCCTCCAAGGTCCCCCGCCGCGGCGTCTTTCGAGCGTGTGTGAGGTCACTGGGACCTTCGTTCCCCCAGCTTTCGCCCCGCAATTTCTCATTGGGCACGTAATCTTGGCTTTGGCCAACCGCCCCTCCAACTGGTCGCCTGTCCGTCCCCCCTCCCATTCCCTGCCATATCGCCGAGCTAACGCAGCTGCTGCAGCTTTCGCTCCTTGTTCCGGCATGGTGGGAAACCAAGCACCGCGCCGGTGTGTGCGTCTGAACGCCTCGAGTCAACACCAGGACCCAGGGGACCAAAGCTCAAACCAGGCCGATGGCAATACACCACCACCTCTCTCCACCAAACGGTCTGACGAGACAACGGGGGACCTGATAAGCCGTGGCCACCCGCCATCTATAAACAGCCCCTCCCCCGCGCACCAGCTTTGTGTCTCCTTGTGCTATTCTCTTCCCCTTTTGCATCTTCACCATTGGCCAATTGACTGCAACTCGGAGGATAGATACGTCTCCGATATCGCACAGCTTCACCCCCACGAGCATCGCAGGAAGAAGGCAGCGTCGTAAAGAGGAACGACGAGCAGGTCAAACACCACATTAGGAAGAAAGCAGACGAAAGAAGACCGTCGCCATGGCCTTCATGAGAGCCTCCGCGGCCCTGCGCCCCGTCATGCGCACGGCGGCCAGGACACCCCTCTCCCGCCGCACCCTCTGCGTCTCCGCCCCGCGCATGGCTGCCTCCCTCTTCGCCGGCGAGCCCTCCGCCCCGGCCGTCAAGACCGAGATCCCGGGTCCTCAGTCCAAGAAGCAAATCGCGGACCTGCACGAGGTCTTTGACACCCGCAGCTTGAACATGCTCACGGATTACAAGAAGAGCAAGGGCAACTACGTTGTCGACGCCGACGGCAACGTCCTGCTGGATGTGTAAGTGCTTTCCCACGTCTCACCCTCTAGTCAACGATCCTAACATGCGCACCACAGCTACGCCCAAATCGCCTCTATCCCCCTTGGCTACAACAACCCTGCCCTCGCCAAGGTAGCTGAGACCCCCGAAATGATAAACGCAATCATCAACCGTCCCGCCCTCGGCAACTTCCCGCCGGAGGACTGGGCCGAGGTCCTCCGCACCGGCATTCTCAAGGTCGCCCCCAAGGGCCTCGACCAGGTCTTCACTGCCATGGCTGGCTCCGACGCGAATGAGACCGCCTACAAGGCCGCCTTCATGTGGCGCCGCCAGCAGGAGCGCGGTGGCTACGACGTCGACTTCACTCCCGAGGAGACCGCCTCCGCCATGAACAACCAGGCCCCGGGCGCCTCGCAGCTTTCCATCCTCTCCTTCAAGACGGGCTTCCACGGCCGCCTCTTCGGCTCCCTCTCCACGACCCGCTCCAAGCCCATCCACAAGCTCGACATCCCCGCCTTCGACTGGCCCCAGGCCACCTTCCCCCAGCTCAAGTACCCGCTCGAGGAGCACGCCGAGGAGAACGCCGCCGCCGAGCAGGCCGCCCTCGACGAGGTCGAGCACCTTATCAAGACCTACCACGTGCCCCCCGCCGCCGTCATCGTCGAGCCCATCCAGTCCGAGGGCGGCGATAACCACGCCTCCCCAGCCTTCTTCCGCGGCCTGCGCGAGGTCACCAAGAAGCACAACGTCCTCCTCATCGTCGACGAGGTCCAGACCGGCGTCGGCGCCACCGGCAAGTTCTGGGCTCACGAGCACTGGGACCTCCCCACCCCTCCGGACATGGTCACCTTTTCCAAGAAGGCCCAGACCGCCGGCTACTACTTTGGCAACCCCGAGCTGCGCCCCAACAAGCCCTACCGCCAGTTCAACACCTGGATGGGCGACCCGGCCCGCGCCATCCTCTTCCGCGAGATCGTAAATGAGGTCGAGCGCCTCGGCCTCGTCGAGCACACGGCCCGCGTCGGCGACTACCTCTTCGGCAAGCTCGAGGCCCTCGGCAAGAAGTACCCGGGTCAGTTCGCCAACCTGCGCGGCAAGGGACAGGGCACCTTCATCGCCTTCGACAACCCGCGCCGCGACGAGTTCCTCAAGAAGGCGAAGGGTCTGGGCATCAACATTGGTGGTTCCGGAGAGAGCGCCGTCCGCCTGAGGCCGATGCTCATCTTCCAGGAGCACCACGCTGATATCCTCATCGAGGCCTTGGAGAAGATTGTCAAGTCTTGGTAATGACAGAGAGCGGTCATATTGGGATAATTTTTCTTTTTGATGCATCTCATACAGGAGCTTATTGGCCCGGTCTTGGCCGGTTATTTTGATTTTTATCTAGCGTTTTTATGAATGGTCTCCAAAAAAGATTGAGGGACGTAGACAGACAGTTGGTTTGAGGCAATACCAATCATGATATTTTATGGCTCTATGAACTCTGCTCTCAGTTGTCAATGTACCTTGCCACCGCCTATCGTACACGTTGATGTTTGTCCCAAGTCCCCCAAACCAGATAAACCTCCTCTAGCCTCCGTATCCTGGAGTAAAAGCAGTTGGCCAACAACGCCTTCCGTATATCATACATGTGCCTCCTCACATGAGCGGCCTTGCGCCCATTGAAGGTGGTGTGGTGTTTGCTGCCGCAGCTAGCTGTGCGGGCTGGGTAGGCAAGGTCAACCTCGTTTCCCGCCGTGCTTCAGACGAGTACTTGGGTAGAATGTACCGCCACCGCCTCTTTGGCCTGTTGATATGTCCATTGGTGATGGGCGGAACCTCAAGTTTCTATCTCGCCAGTCCTTCCTGTGTCAAATGCCCAATATGTGGTATGGCTCGTTCTTTCTCCGATTCTGGAAGTTGCTCGCGCTCTGGGTATGGATCTTGGCGCATCTCGTCAGACCGGCCGCGGGGAGTCTCGCTTGGCGTGGACCGACCTGACAGTGTCCTAGGTTGGTCGACTCTATAGGTATAAGTGCCCTGCCAATGTCAGAACCTACCAGCCAAGTGGCAGGTGCGTACTCACCGGTAACTCTGGTACGCCCTTTTCCGTTGACCTAGGTCGCCCGCGTTTCTTCCTTGGGGGCTCGCCAGTTGTCTCCGAGGTAGGGCCTGGTGATAAACTGTAGGCTGAGCTCTCTGCCGGGGTGCTGGGACTTTCCCCAGCTGAATTGCGAGGTGCAGGTGCTGGAGCCAGGGGCGTAAAATGTTGAGGAAGCATCGCTCTAAGTTGCCTCGCCTTATCTGCCCGTGACGGCCTTCCTCTCTTACGAGGCGGAGGCGGAGGCGGCGCTGCGGGCGGCTGGTTTGGGCTCGGATAACCGTTGGACGCCGTGCCACTCTCCGGGCCAGCGTTCATCTGTCTCGGCTGTATATTTGGCAGTGGAGTTTGCTGCAGTTGCGTGGGCGCTGGTAAGAGAGATCGTACAGACATCGGATTCGCGTAAGCAGACGGTCCTTGTGAAGCAGAAGCCAGTGGCGGCAGCTGTGCAGGAGGTTCCATCGGAGAAGCTACTGCCAGACGTTTGGATGGCTTGTCGAGGAGATCACCGACAGGCTTGCGCTTCAGATCTGGTATTCTCATGGGCCCTTGGAACATCTGTTCGGTGGCTTGTATGCACTGCTCCATCGTACGGCCTGAACAAGTCTGTCAGTATACACAGACCGGGGTTCACGACTGTTGAGGCACTCATACCAGGAGGCAGCTGCATTTTGAGCCAGTTGGGCTCGGTTTTGTGTAATTTCAGAAAGTCAACCAGATGGCCCAGGTCTAAGTTGCTGGTCTTGATGACTTCTGCGAGGATCAACCTCTGGGGAACTGCGCGTCAGCATACGTATGATAAAGGCGAACAACACGCTAACCTTTTCTTCTTCTGAAAAAGGGTAGGCCATCGTGAAGAGGCTAGCTACTGCCGGGGCAAGTGTCACGAAAGCAAAAGATGGTGAGGAACACGGATCTTGGGACCGGCATTGGCGGCGTGGGGTTGTAGCAAACGAACGTCTCGGCGCTGGCAAGGATGGATCTGTCCGTGAGGAGTTGCAAAGAGCCAAGGTGGTCGTTCAAATGAAGGTGGGATGCTAATAAGGTGTGGAAGCTAGAGCGAGTGTAACGGACGGAGCCGGCGTCGTCAACTGAAGTTGCGCACAGCGAACAGGCAGATGCCAGGCAGACAAGCGCGGCCGAGGCGGCAAGAGGTCGTAGCAAAGGTCAAAAACAGCCGCCGTGGTGGGTGTCGCCTCGCTTTGCCGTTGGTAGAAGGCAGGTAAGTGCACCTACAGACGACAACAGGAAAGAACGAACGTGCAGCTGGAGATAATGAAAGTCGTGAGATCTGCGCAAGCGCGCGTCTTTGACCAGAGGCCGCCGAAGAAAAGACCCCGTCCCACGACAACGTCGAGGGGAAGTTGGACGAGGCGCGAGATGGAGGGGGTAACACAGCCTGGACAGGCCTGGTCGGTAGAAGTGGAGGCTCGAATGTTTCGTTTGTTCCTGGAAAACCTGGGCCACTTTGCGACTATGAGCGCGGGAGGCCCTGCACGGCGCGCGGTCGGGGACTTGCTGGCGTGACCGGGGTTCAGTGGCAGGTCTGAGGCGTTTGTTTTTGGAAGCGGAAGACCTTGGGTGGAAGTTGGAACAAGCGAGACAAGTTTGCCGAGTGGTTAATTACGCGTTAGGCCTGTTCAGGAGACATTCCAGGACGTCGGTTCAGTCGAGGCCTGATACGGTATGTTGCGACGGCTGTTCGCAGCAAGGATGCGAATCCCGTCGTTCGATCGAGTCTTGTTCGAGAGGACTCGAGCAGAGGACGAGGCGGATGCTGTTTGTCTTAAGATCCGAAGCGACGGAGGAAGAGGCGAATTGGACCGTCGCAATTATCAGCAGGCCTCCCATGCCCTTAGTTCTCGTCGTGCTGAGTGAGATTCATGGAAGTAAGGGGAGTTCGGAGTTGGCGCAAATGGATAAACAGGTCACAACTCCAAAGGCACCCTTACACTCTCCCCTTGTTGGAGTAGTGCAAAGTTGCAACGTCCGAGCGAGGGTGGCTGGGAAATGCCCGCACCTCTTTCGACGAAGACGATGACTGCACGAGAAGAGGTAGAGACAGTGCGGCGCACCAGAGCCTTGGGTGTCCTACAGTGAGGACGAGACGAACGAAAAAAGCGGTTGCAGGTCTGGCGTGACCGACTGACGTCGAGGGTGTGATTGCCGAAAATCAAGCGGGAATCTGAGGTGGCTAGGGAAGGCTTCCGGTAGGGGCGCGGAGAATCACCGGTCGTCGTCTGCGTCTGCGACTATCTGTTTTTTTTTTTCGATGGATGGATGCACTGCGGCACTGCCAAACTGGGCACAAGTTTAATGTAATGTGCTCTGTCGGGATGTTGGTGGGTGGGTGGGTGGTGGTGGGTTAGAGGATGGAAGGGAGGGAGGGATGATGGATGTTGGCACAAGCTGCCGTGGCGGCCAAGGCTAGATCAGGTCAACGACGAGCGATAGTTTGTGTGGTGTGTGTGAGGGCGTGGTGTGGGTGAGGATGGGAGTCGTAGTCATCCTCTCTCTCTCTGTCGTCCGTCCATGGATTGATATCAGCAGCATCCTCCAAGCCAGGTCCCGCCGTGATGCTGCCACTCCGCTCCCCGCCTCTGGCTTCCGGCGGCTGATTCTTTTCTCGCTATGCCTCAGATCGTCGTCGGCCGCCTTAAGCTTCTGGTCTGACCCGGCAGTGGCTTTGTCTTAGGCGCCCCTCGCGCCCGGCCTCTCTTTCCGTCGTCGGATTCTTGCTTTTTTCGCGGCAGCCGAATCGCCCTTTCCAAATTTTGTCGCGCATGTCTCACCAAGGCGCCCAAAGAGGAAGCAGCTGTCTGGTTGGCCGACAGCCACACCGCGGGGCCTTTTTCTTCGTTCGCATTCGAGGTCGAGAATGGGGCTCAGATCAGACGAAGCTCCAATGTCTGTGGTTGCTCCCACTTGCACCTCCTCAGCACCACAGTCACGCACCCTTTGAGAGGCATCACAAATGACTGCATAAGGTAGCTTCCTTCTCTCTGCCCATGCCTATGCAATCGACAGAGCGGGTATCCCTGTCTCCCGCCCGTCCTGCACACGCCGCTGGCTGCAGCAGAGTCCCATATGCTGAGCTGTTAGTGGCCGGTGTTGGGCTGAGAAGAGCTACATGCAGCAGACTCTGTAAGGCAAGGCAATGGAGAGAGAGCGGCCTGCAGCTGCAAATGCAGTGCTTGATACTGCCAGAGGGGGAGGGTTGCGTCAACTAGCCAATCCTATCGGGGAACACCTCCCGCCTGACTTGACTCTCTGCCACTTGCAGGACGTCATTGTCGTGGTGTCTGCCGAAAACATGACTTTTGTTTTCCTTCTCTGTCTCCAGCAAGCTTGGATATAGCATGTCAGCTTAAGAAACCCAAAGACTGATTCAGCACTAGCTGGCGAAGACGAGAAGTGACGGAGAAAGTGAGTGAATTCCATTCCCTTCCTTCTGCTTGCTGGTCGGTGCGCTGGCAGCATGGAACTCGTATCGGCCGCCTTGGAGCATGGCCTTCCCCCCACCATGCAACTCAAGTCAGCAACTGCCCCTCCCCCTTCCAACTCACTTTCTCCCCTCTCCGCTGTGGTGGCTGCTTCAGCGCGTTCCCATCTCCTCCCTCCCACCTCCGTTAGAGTTCACTGTCATCTCATCATTCCGCTTGGAATGCGCGCCTTTTTCTTCTCGCCCATCGCGGTCTCCTTGTCGACGGTGGAACAGAAAATGAAGAAACGTGATCGACAGACGACCGAATAAGGAAACAGGGGCCTGTTTAGTGCCCGCGCAATGCTCGTCCGGAATGCCATTCAGCACCCTCATTGGCCGTCGCGCAGCCAAATCCAGCTCGCTGGTGACTGTCGGGGGAAACCACTGGATTCCCTCTTCTCCAATCACCGACCAACAACATCACAGGAGCCAGCACAGGGCACGGGTTCGTCACATTTCCCGCAGTTGACAGAGGGAGCCGCAGCCAGACACTGTGAGGCCGCGCTGCACCTGAGTGGACTGAATCCCCATGATTTCTGGGGGGGCGGCCCAAAACGTGAACGGGCGGAAAGGAAGCGATCGAAGCAATGAGGCTGAGAAGAATTAGGAAACCAGGCACACGCAACTCAAAACTGATGACTGTCGCGACGAACGACATCGAGTGCAAAGGGTCGGAAAATGGTCTTGCTGCCCCAATTGCCGCGTTCGTCCACCGCCTCTTTATACTCTTGGACTTCCTCAGGCTGCTGGTCTTCTTCATCCGGCTTCAGCGACGTCTTTGCTGCACAATGAGTTGGCATCCTCCCACTGGGAGACCCACCCATGTACAACCCGTCCATGCCAATGGCGGAGCCATCTCCAGACGACACCAAACGGCACCGACCGCCCGTCACTAGCAGGGCATCGTTGCCCAACTCGGGTACGCCTACATGCCTGCTTCTCTCCATCTGACGGTACAGCACCTTGCCCAACACCGCTTTCGCCGGGAATTCGTCTTCTGCACCTCTGAGCTGTGCGTCATGCTGCTTCAAACTCCCCTTACCCTCCAGACCAGTGGATGACTCGGGCTGGGCCATCGTGCAGGTGCGCGCCAAAGTAGCTCGATGCTTCGTTGCCGCCGTCGACGTTGCACTTGAATCTCTGCGCATCGGATGAACATGCGTCGTGGCATTCCTGGAGTGGAGCGATGGCCATCGGCAGTGGGCAACAGTTGCAGTCCTAGCCAGATATGCCAATATCCTGCCACTCGTTTCAACAGGAACTGTGGCCCAAGCCTTGTTCCCAGACACTCAAATGTGTGGGAATTATCCAAGGCTTCGAATTCGTTTCGTGCGACAAAGCTCGAACTTCTCTCACTTGCTCCGGAACTAGGACTGCGGGATTGGCATTCGGCTCAGAGCTATATTTCCTCTTGTCCCTTGATACCTATTCCGGCCGAAACAACTCAGGTAGGCGCAGTGAATACATCACGGGGAGGATAGGGAAATTCCAATGGCAAATCTGGAGAGGCTTGGAAAAGGCCATGTCCAGGGGTGTTCTCTTGGAAGAGCATGCAGGGCAGGTGGATGCGAAGTGTCGGTGAGAGAACCTGGAAACCATCTTCTTGCTCCAGATAAGCCCTGGTCCATGCTTAACTGTGACCATGTTTGACGAGGCAAGTAATTCGGGAATTCGCATCTGAGTGAATTCCGCAACAAAGGCGGACGGGTGCCAAATATCTCAATCAGCCTCATGGCGCTGTTCACGCCTCACATAGAAGGTATTCAGGCTACGCCATCGTTACACAACATTGCTGACCAGTTCGAATTAGATGACCAGCAATAGCAAAGCAAAACGAGGCCCCAACGACAGAACACGATGATCCGCCCCTGCGTGCAGCCTCTTGTAATCCCATTTCTTTGATCAAACGCGCTTACATTGCGTCGAATAGCATTGGGTAGAATGCGTGCTCTTTCTGTGGAGGCATCAGTGACGTGGGATCTCCAACTCGGACTTTTAAACTTCAATACGTTTAGGTGGGGTCATTACGCACGCGACAATTGGATGGATCTCGCGACAGTCATTCTGGGGAAGCTACGATCGGATTTTGAAAGAAGTCTAGGCCTCGGAACCCGGCCGCATCAATGTTCCGCGCCTGTCGTGTAGGTTCCCGGTCCACAGTGTAGGTGTCGCGCCGCGGTCGGGTGTGCTCCACCGAGATGAAGTCGCTGTTGGTAGTAAGCTCGGCGCAGATTCGCTCAAGGAACGGAAGTGGCTAGGTTTGGCCCAAGCGCGACAGGCTGAGTGGCTGCCGTCCAGGCTCAGTTGGAAGCCACTGTGAGATTATTCTCGCCTGTCGTCCCTTCCAAATCCTTTGCGACTTCGCCCTGGAAACATTGCTTCTCTCTCGGTTGCCGACAGCCCAGTGTTAGGTTTCTCTGGGTGGGTGATTTGTCGATTTTCAAAAATTTGCCATTGCCCAATCGCAGCCGGGTTTGCTGTCAATCCTCGTGCGACGACCAGCTTTTTGCGATGCGGGAAACCTTTGGCTCGGACTGCTAACCGCTCTCTCTCCTAACGCGCCGCCGCCGCCTCGCAAGTCGTCCCCCATCTCCTCTTCCCATACCTTTCCAATCCTCTCCTGCTCCACCCCAACAAAACTGCTGCAGCTCTCACAAGCGCACCGGCCTACCGATTCGCAAATTCTTTCGCCTGTCGCGTCCGCGTCCTTTGACCCTTTGTCCCAATCCATTCCTCAGGACGACCCGATTCGCGACAATCTCCCGCCTCCCTCCTGTGCGCCCGCCCTGCCGAGGGCTTTCTCGATTGCTTGATGGAGGATGAAGCGCTGGCGACGATGAAGATGGAGGAAGTAAAAATAGAAGACGGCCTTGCGCCGAATGGGGTCAAGATGGAGCGAGAAACGAGCCGGTCATCATCGCACAACAAGAGCAACCACGGCTCCCGCGCCGTCAGCATGTCGCCTGGGGGCGAGAATACCAACGACGAGGGCGCCTCCACTCCTGGTACGAATAGCCGGCCGAAGCTTTCCCGCAAAGCCTCTCAGAAGCCCGTCAAGCGCGAAACCGTCCTGTTCAGCGATCTGCCCGATGTTCGAGAGGAAGCATGCAATACCTTTCAAGTCATTCCGGACTGTCTATATGGATCGAAGCACATGGGCTCAACCGATCACGATGCCTTGGACTGTGATTGCCGTTCCGAGTGGCGTAAGTCCCCCATGCCTCCCTTTCTGCCCGACGCGAGGCAATCGCGAGCGGCCCCTGACTAAATTTTGCGTTGCAGAGGACGGGAAAAACTACTCATGTGGCGAGGACTCCGACTGCATCAACAGAGCCACGAGAATGGAGTGCGTTGTGGGCACTGGTAATTGCGGCGACGGGTGCCAGAATCAGAGATTTCAGCGCAAGCAGTACGCCAACGTTTCAGTCATCAAGACAGACAAGAAAGGATTCGGTCTCCGCGCCAATGTCGACATGCAAGCTAACGACTTCATTTTCGAGTACATTGGCGAAGTCATCAACGAGCCAACATTTAGGCGGCGCATGTCGCAGTACGACGATGAGGGCATCAAGCATTTTTACTTCATGTCGCTTACCAAGCACGAATTTGTCGACGCCACGAAGAAGGGAAACCTGGGCCGTTTCTGCAACCACTCCTGCAATCCAAACTGCTACGTCGACAAATGGGTCGTCGGAGAAAAGCTACGCATGGGTATTTTCACGTCGCGCAAAATCAAGGCTGGCGAGGAGCTGGTATTCAACTACAACGTAGACCGCTACGGGGCCAACCCCCAACCATGCTACTGTGGCGAGGTCAACTGCACTGGATTTATTGGTGGCAAGACTCAGACCGAGCGATCCACCAAGCTGCCCCTCGCAACTGTTGAAGCCCTCGGCATTGACGATGGAGACAGCTGGGACACTGCGGTCGCCAAGAAGCCCAGGAAGAAGAAGGTCGAAGAGGATGATGAGGAGTACGTTAACAGCGTACAGGCCAGAAGCCTCAATGAGGATGGCGCACGCAAGGTGATGGCGACCCTGATGCAGACGAAGGAGAAATGGATTGCAGTCAAACTGCTGCAGCGCATCCAGCAGTGCAGTGATGAGCGGGTCATCCACTGTGTCATGCGCATGCACGCCTACCAAATCCTCAAAACCACCCTCAACATGTTCATCGACGACCACAATGTCATTCTCCAGGTCTTGGACATTCTTGACAAATTTCCTCGATTGACCAGGAACAAGATAGAGGGCTCAAAGATTGAAGACACAATCACCAAGCTGGCTCAATCGGAAAACGAAGAGGTCAGCATCAGGTCGAAGAAGCTGTTGGAAGAGTGGGCAAAGTTGGAGTTGGGGTACCGCATTGGGAAGCGAAAGTTTGACCCCAACGCCCCGACCACCAACTCCTTTCAGGAGAGGCGCAACGCAGAACGCGAAGAAGACACTACCGCCAAATCGACTCCCGACCCGTTCCAAAATGTCGATATTCCAAAGGGTCCAAGAAACAGTATGCCACAGCGGAATCCACACCTAGCGAACGGCCCCCCACGACCCAGAAGACAACACTTCCCCAACGGCCCTCTTCCGGCTGGATGGTTCACTGCAACCGACCCGGCAGGTAACACCTACTTCTATAGTAAGACTGGTGTAACAAGGTGGGAGAGGCCGACTAAGCCGGCTGATGCGCCAACCATAGCCAACAAGGCGCGAGAGGAGCAGCAGAGGCTGAGGGACATCATCGACAAGGTGACGAAGGAACAAACTCCCAGGCCTTCGGCTTCTCAGACACCGCAGCGGGCAGAAACACCCGTGCAAGAGCCCAAGCCAGAAAAGTGGCGCTCTCTCAGTGTTGAGAAGCAGATGAAGATCTATGAGAATACGGTACGTCCATTTTCCCACGCGGCATGAATGCCTACTAACGTCCTTTAGTTATTCCCTCACATCAAGTACGTGATTGATAAGTACAAACACAAGCTTCCCAAGGAGGATCTCAAGCGGTTCGGCAAGGACATTAGCAAGAAGCTGGTCTCATCGGACTACAAAAGAAACCATGTCCGTGATCCAACCCAGCCTTTGGATCAGAAGCAAGCCAGGAAGGTCAAGACCTACGTCAAGGATTTCTTGGACAGGGCTGTAGTGAAAATGAAGAACTACGAGAAGGAGAAGGCTGTCCGTCATGGGCCAAAGGATGGAGGCGTCAATGGTCCAGCAACGGACGTTGATGCCATGGTGGACATCGCCGATGAAGTTATGCTTTCTGACGACGAGGAGACTGCGTCGACGGGTAGCCCAGAGAGAAAGCGGAAGCGCGAGGACGAGGCGGCTGCTTCACCGAACCTGACGCCTTCGGATGGACCCTCAACGAAGCGCTTGAGGGATGAAGATGTGGAGGACGGTGCGCCGCCTCCTCCACCGCCCCCGCCGCCCACAGAGCCGGCGCCGACTGATTCTCCAGAGTCTCTGACTGAAGAGCAACAAGCGCTTAGGGAGCAGGAGGAAGCTCTGATGAGGGAGAACGAGGAAGCTGAGCGAGAGGAAGCCACGAAAACTCAGGGGATCTTTGATGGGCCCCGAATCAATGGTGGCGTAATCGTGGCTGGAGAAGGAGAGCCCGCTGCAGCGACCAGGCAAGAGGTTCTCGGCCACTAGAACTGGGACGAGGACAGGACGTAAGGGGGGAAAGTTGCCAATTTGGCACCTTCATTTGGAAGGAGGGCCAGCCGAGAACGAGCGAAGAATAAGCGAGACTCGGCGCTGTACGTACAAGCAAGCATATTGCATTTTTCTTTTCGGAAAGGGATTCAGCAGACCCAGAGCACTTGGTTGCTGCCATTGTTATTTTCGATTTTCTATTGTTTTCGCCATGTGGATATTCAAAACGAGGAGCAGACGGTCACGCGGGCTTGCGGAAGCTATATCTGCGTATTCAGCATCAACACAACCTTTTTCCCTTGATCGGGCATGTACAGGTGGGAACATAGGCGGCATTCTAGCATGGGGTTTCTCGGCAGGCAGGCAGGCAGGCAGGCAGGGGGGGGGGGCTGGTTTAAGGACGGCGGCGTTGCTTATTTCTCTCTCACGAGGGCCCTTAGGGGACCCTGAAAAGCATACCCACATTACCATACGTGGTCATGGCATAATGGCATATTGTTAAATTCTGAGAAATGATTTTTCTTGTCGTGCAAGCCCCAAGACGGAGGCTAATTGCACAAGTAACAAGCATGGTATCTGGCTTTTGAAATGCTGTGAAGCTCCTCCAAATTTGTTTGACTTTTCCCTTTCCTGAAGAACGCCGTGGTACCCATGCCTGATTAAATACCGTTCGAGACTGTCTAATTCCCATGACGTCGTGCTGTATGCCTCACGCAAATGATGCTCCAACCCAAGAAAAGATCCCGTAGACACGCACGCAAATGCCCTCACTCAAAGTCATCCTCGATATCCCCCACCTCGTCGTCGAAATCCGCCTCCTCGTCACTGCTACTCTCCTCCCCGCCCTTCCTCTTCTTCTTCTTCTGCGCCGGCAGCGCCTCGGGCGCCTCACCGGTCCTCATGAACACAAAACTCCGCGCGGGGCGGTCCTCGCCCCTCCACGCGTTCCCGCTCGCCTCGCCGGTGCCCTTCTTCTCCCGCACGACGCCGAGGGTGCGCGCGTGCCGGTACCCCGGGTACGCGCGGGCGTGGAAGCGGAAGCTCTGCAGGGCCTGCAGGCCGGCGTGGCGGCCGAGGTCCTTGATGTTCCAGAGGGTGTAGGGGTGGCCCTCGAAGAGGGTGACGACGAGGGTGCCGCGGGGCGCGAGGGAGGGCAGGGCGGACTTGAAGAAGGCGACGAGGAGCTCCTGGTTGTAGCGGACCTGGCGGTTGACGTCGGTGGACTTGCCGCCGACGTGGGGGAAGTTGAAGATGATGCGCTTGTAGAGGCCGTGTTTCGTGGTCGTGGCGGTGCCGTGGTGGTTCTGGGAGGTGGTGCGCCGGGTGAAGGGTTTCATTGTGCGCGCGTCGATGTTGTAGAGAATCTTATTGTTGTTGGGAGGCAGGGAGGGTTTTTCTTCGGCGTCCTCCTCGTCGTCCTCCTCGTCTGCCGCTGGGGAGTCTTCGTTCGCATCTTCGTCTTCCTCGTCGTTTTCGCCGTCGCCATCCTCTGCCTTGGTTTTGGGTTTGGGCTTGCTTCCGGAGTTGGTGATTTGGGCAATGTTCTCGTCGGCGTGGGGGTACTTCTCCAGCAGCTCCTTTTCGTTCTTCTCGAGGACGGTGGCCGTGACGTTGCGGCAGCCGTGGTGCGTCGCCAGACTCGCGGCGAAGCTGAGGTCGCCCTCGCCGATGAGGAGGATCGCGTCTTCGGGCGAGAAGGGGATGACGGGTTCCTGATTCTGGTGGTACTGCTGCTGCGCCTTCTTCTTTGCGGGGTTGTCGTTGGCGGGCTGTTTGGACTTCTTGCTGCTCGACGGAGGGCCGTTTGGTTTCCTCTTCTTGGCGGAGTCGACGAAGTGGTTTTTGTGAGTGATCTGGCTGGCGGTGCGCTTCTTCCCCATGGCTGTGATTGTCAATCGGGTGTCGCGGGGGTTGGACGAGTGAATATGTGCGATTGGAGCCGGAAGGGGATCGTCAAGGGCGGTTGTTGTCGTTTGCGACGTCGTGTGGTGTAGCTATTCGTGGAGTGGTGTCGCGCCGACTGAAGTTACTTTACCCCACAGTCACCGACAACTTTTTTTGCCCGGGCGGTATGAGAGGTCGTTGACCGAAGGTGTAGCGCGCCCCGGCGGCTCGGGAATAGACGAGGTTCAGCCGGTCTCAAGTGGCCCCCGCCGCCGTCGTCCGTGGCTGGGCTCTTTGGCCTTTCCCAGCAGGCACCGCGCGACAAAGCTTCTGCCACCCTACCCCCTGGACGGGGCGACACCGGATTATGGAGAACCGCAGGGGGTGCTCCAGCGTCGATTGGGAACTGGAGACGCGCCGGGGCGGGAGCGTGTACACGGTACCTCACCACGTTAACAGAGTTGTAAGGTGCTGGTTCAGGGACTTTGCGGTGGGTAAATGGAGCTCCACCTTGGGGCGTGTGTGTTGTGCGGTGTGGACTTTTATTTTTTCTCTGGTACCATTGGGACTTCAAGTGGTTTTTTCTTGCAGGGAGAGGAGATTTTCGATGTTGCATTTCTGTAAGGTGACGTTTTCTCGAGGGATTGGTTGATTTGATGCATCTCGTGAGCTTGATGAGCCATCGCTGAGTGAGCGTTTGGGAGGCCATCGTGTGCTGGTCTCTTCTTACCCCCTTGGTGGACCAGACTTCAAATGAGACTTACGGAACCTTGGGTGTTGAGCACCTTAGCAGACGCAAGGGATGATAATTCAGCAATCAGCATTCCAGGTCTGTGTTTGCTCTGTTGCCAGGCGCAGGTGGTTGCCTTGCACTCATTCAGACATGAATGTCAACAGATGGCTGTGGCTGCCAAAGCCAACGGGCGCCTTAAAACACCTCGGAAACACACGTAATCTGGTGCCATTGCCTTCTGCATTATGGGATCTCATTAGCCACAACCAACACCATCTTGCATCTGGTTGCTAGACTACTGGAGAGGCTGGAGACAAGAGAGAGACCCGGCTGGAGCTCGGGATCTGGATGCAATAGGGCCCACTTCTCGGACGGGACAAGGTCCTGGAAAAGTGCCCCCCGTCCGACTCGTCCGAACTTGGGACTGGGGGTTGAGAAAAATGTCTGTTTGGGAGCCGCCATCATGGTGAGATTAAAAAAAGAAAGCAAAGGAAAAAGTATCCGGCTTGACAGGATGCGCGATTACCAAAGGATTCCAACGGATCCCCCCGTCATCAACCGCAGGACCAGGCCGGATCGCCACTCGGCAGTCAACGGCGTGGCCCCGTTCCCAAAACCGTGACGGTAGCGGAAGTTCCTCTTGTGCGCAAAGCGTGGGTTTTTCTTGCTTTGGGTCTGTCTGGGGGTAGTGAAAAACGGGCACTGGCTGTTGGGTGTGGCTTTCGTCACGTCAGAGGGATGGGATGGGGGGGGGACAGGCCACATCCTCGCCGGCCACGACTTGGGTTTCTGTCCATCTCTTTGACGGTTGATGCTAGACACGGATTTTCAATGCTTGTTTGTCTGCTGCTGACTCTTGACTCTGGCGCGTGTGTGTGGTTCTGCATCCGGCGGTGGTTATTATGCGACGATGCGACACCTTGGCTTGCAATGCTCGTCGTCATACAATCAATTCCCATTAGACGCCAGTCAGCCCGCCTAAATACCGAATCGAGTCGATTCGTCTGCCGGAGCGGGCGGCAGTGTTGGTGACTACGGTAGTGAGCAGGATGGACGGAGGGACGGAGGGACGGAGGGAGGGCGAATGGGCTGCTGCTGCTGCATCAGAGGATGAGGAGAACTACTACGTACACCAGAGCAGAATACATGCCTCTGACTGAGTCTGTTACCAAAGTCCGCATCTCAGGCATTCTTGTCGGTTGGCCTGCCAAGTCGCAAATCCACCGTTTCGAGGACCTGAGCGGCCCATAGCCAACGAAGCAGGACAGAGCAAGGCAAGGCACAGTCGCAGTACGCAGTACAGCGAAGCAAAGCAAATCGCGGGCAGAAGGCTTACACTGAGCTGAACGGGCCCTGACTCTGCCCCAGAGCGAGTAACTGTGACCTGGGCGGCCGGTGGGTGACCAGAGTACGCGGCCGCACACTGCCAGATGGCAGGCGGTGCAAGTACTCAGTACCTTCCCCCTTCGACAGGGGTGAGAAACTATTTCCGGCTACCGGATTATCAGGCACTCCGGACGAATCAGCAGCGGAGAAATCCTGCCGACTCCTACCAGATTGGTGTAAGTGTGCTGGGCTGGGCCTTGCCTTTCCGCCTCGCTGTAGCAGGGTGGTCACGTCTGGTCTGCTCCTGCCACTGCACCGCTCTGCTGCGCTCCGCCTGGCCTGGTACGCTCGGTATTATTCTTTGCAAAAGGCAAGAAGGGGAAAATCGCAGCACTCTTGGTTCACGACGCACTTCAACACCGCTTTCGCCGCCCCATTCTCACCTACAGCGGTCGCTGCGGAAGCTTCTCATCTTTATCGCGATCATATTTTTACCCTGCTCAGATTGGTTGCTCGTCGAGTAATTCTCGGTCGTTGCGAGAGACATCAGTGAGAAAGGCCAGGCGGCTGCTTTTTCTTAGCCCACACCCGTTCCCGCTGGCCCAGTCCACACCCTCGTCTTTCTCCGAACAACTCTCAGCCAACAACGAACTTCTTCAACCAAAAGACTCTACACACTCTTCACCGTCCTCCCTCCTTCCCCGAGAGAGAGATAGACAGTCGCGCTGGCTCACGCACCAGGGAAGCGACTCACTGACCGGCCGACAGAGAGTCTCTCGATTTTTCTGCCGGCCGCTTAACTGATCTCATCTCTCCTACCCTCACACGTCTCATTACACACTTACCCGCTCTCACTTTTGCCTCCACTTACCCCCATTTCCTTCCCCCCAGTCTGTCACGTATCTTTCATGAACGGCCATCACCGCCATCATGTCAGACACAGAAACACCGGAGCAGTCTGCTTCGACGCCGACGCCTCAGCCGACGCCTAGAGCGACCAGAGGCAGAGGTAGAGGCAGGGGCAGGAGACCCGCCGTCCCAAGAAAAGAGGCAG